TACACATGTATCATTACCGGAGCAACCGTATTTCTCATAGTGCTTCGAAAGCAACTTCATGTAAATTAAATCATATCACATCGCCATCATCATGAACTAAAAATAAAAAAAAAAAGGGTATACGAAAGACCATTCGCTAAGAAAGTAAAAGAGAAAAAAGCCGCTTCATCTCCAAAGGGCCCTGTATCAAATGCAATCCCATATCTAAGCCCTCGTCTCCTCGCCCTCGCCCTCGCTCACCCTCATGTTCTTCTCGTCCGGCCTCACAAAGTCCAACTCTGTGATTTCCGTGTCGTGCACCCTCCACCAAATGACTGGGACGGCGAAGAGCATTCCTATGACGCACAGACCCCATGATGTTCCAAATCTACTTTGTGTTAGTAATGGTATCTAAACGGTTGTATACTGCCTGCGGAATGGTGGGTACTTACAGAACGTAGTAGCTGTGCTTATTGGCGTCAAGACTCCACACGACCGCGGCACCGGCAGACTGGATTCCTTTGTAGAACCCGGCAAAGTAGGCTAGCTTGCGAGGCTCGTTTGAGAGAGCGCCCATGAGCCAGTATGCGTATGTCTGCCAGACGGCATCGAGGAACCCGTAGAAGAGGTAAAGGATGAGATACCATGTGTAATCCGTATCTAACAACAATTAGTTAATCCGCATTCGTAAAGGTATTACGGGAATGCACTCACCAAAGACATCCAAATTGGGATTCTGCTCAAGTGCCACCTTCTCGCGGGTGGAACCAATGAGTGGCTTAAGACCACCTCCCCATGTTGCATTAACAACCGCAAAAAGAATGACCCATCCAGCGATCGCCCTTGTTCTCCTCGACATTTTCTTATTATCCAGGAAGAAACCAAACATCAATGCGCCAATAATCTGCGCCAGCCAGTACCACAAGTTCGTGAATGTTCTCCCACGGAGGTTGAACATATACACATTGTAGCTGTTCTGTTGATATGTGTAGAACCAGTTACTCGCCCAGAAGAAGGGAAAGAGAAGCAGGATGTAGGAGTCACTCTTCAAAGTGGCCCACAGTCCCTTAATCTCCGATATGGCTGAGGGGTGCTGGATTCGTTGCACGCGGGTACCGTCCTTACGGATGATTCTCTCTGGGGGGACCAGGAAGAAAGCGAGGACAGCACCAGCTAGCATAAGGACGAGAAATCCAATGTAGGTACCGTCAGAGACGTGGAGTGCGTTGGGGTCGTTCCAATTCGCAGCTATCGGAAGTAACTCATGTTTAGCCATGGCACCAAATTTGAAATGGAGGATAACTTTGACCTACCAATTGGAATTATCGAGCCAATAACAGCACCCGTGTTGAAGATGCCCCAAAACATGCCGATGTATCTCCCCTTCTCACTCTCAATCGGGTATGACTGTGTGGCACACGAATTAGCGCCGGCGCATCTTCTTTTGACACGGAGATGGACATACCATCATGATGGTTCCCTGAGCACACCATAGTAGCGCAGCACAAACACCCAACAGCGCACCCGCAAAGATAACAAAAGGGCGGTTCTCTGTGTGGTTATAGCACAGGAATGACGCTGCGTAGATGGCATATCCGACACCTCCGAATGCGAGAGTTGGTTTCGCGCCCACTAGCAGCAGATCGTTAGTATTGGAGCATTGATTATAGAGGAGATGCATCAGGGTATCTCACGGTAGTTGAGGAACGTCCCAGCGACAAAACCGAAGACGGCAAAGGTGGTGTAAAGCGCGGTATTGGCATTTGACTGAACACTTGTATCTAGTTGGCCTCCTCCACCGATTCTTCAACGGATGTTAGCATGGTCCTCCCAGTAGCGATAGAACTCGTAACTCACCCTCCGAGGGCATTAAACATTCCTGTGTCATCCGTTAGATTGCGACATGGCTTGATAAGAGTCGAGAAACATACCAGGACATAAGAAACATACGAAGCCGACAAGAATCACTATGTATCCAGCCTCATCATTAGCACGCACACATTCCAGGTAGTATGCCCTCCAGACTTGCATACCTTGAGATAGTGGTGATCGCCATGGTGCCAATGTCACACCCATAATCTTCCTCTGCTTGATAGGAGCCAACCTCTCGCCTTGCACTTCGTCCATGATTGTGGTTGGGCTACACTGTACCGTTGAACTCGCGAGTACTAGTACTGTGAAGTTTGAACAAGAGTCGGAGTGAAGAGCTCAACTTGAGTTGAAAAGAAAAGGGTGGTGGGCATGTGATCTTATTTAGGTGAGCCCCCCTCCCTCACATTCCGAAGAAGAAGGTGGGAATTGATCGTCGGGATCTTGGCTGGTTGTGAGTGGTGGACGCGGTGGACGTGTGCACACATGGGGATGCCGAGGTGCATATGCGGGGGTGGGAGTCTTGAGTGTTTTGGATCCTGGTAAAGAATTGTTTTAGGTGATTTCTATTAGGGATTGGCCAGAAGAGAAACCAGCCCGTTTGTTCGAGCTCGCTTTTACTGGTCATCATGGTTCGATTACGGCACCAGTTGCACGTCCGTTGTGGCATTGCGCATCCCCGGCGATAATAAGCATGCGCATACATGTACCTACATACATGTAATCACTATTGCACTGGCTTGGTTCCTACGAGGAAGACCCGTTTCCTCTTGTCTGCAAGGCAAGGCCACACATCCCTAGCACTACAAGTACTCGAGCAGAGAACCAAGTAAAGCCAACCCTCACCCTCACTTCCTTCTCCAATTCTCATCGCACCATGTACTCGACTCTACGTATTACATGAAGTACATGAAGTACATGTATGTATGTCCCCGTACCTGAGGCGGATGACCACCTGCAAGCCAAGCTCAAGCTCCACGCCCCAGCCCAACGGTGCGCCACCATCTACTCGACCTATCGCACCTTCTAAGTTTAGCACTTGCGCTGATCGCAAAAAAACAAAGATAAGCTTTCCAGGATTGTTGCTGCTGGTTGCTGCCAATGCCGCCCTTCCGGATTATGGAAGGTTACACAGACCGGGTTGCTATGACGGACATCTTCGTATCTGCTCGTGTGTCCTCTCTAGAGTACCTACAGTCTAGAGTACCGACATGGAGACATGCAATATATAATGTGGATACATGTATGCTTATTGGTGAGTCTAATCTTAGCTTTGCTGTTGGAGTTGTAAACAACAACAGTGCCATGTAGCTGTTCACAACGTCTCTGCATCCTCTACATTCTCTACATATTCAAATCAGCGATCGCACCACGCGTCGGCAGTTTATCGATAGTACCCACTCCTCCCCTTGCCCATGTCCATGTCCATAGCTTGAGCTTCCTCAACTCTAATCAGCTTTATCGATCTCTCCTCCCCGTTCAGGGTGCTCCTAGATGCCGAGGGGCCGAACCCAGTTAGACAACACCATTCGCGTATCAAACAGGGTATCGCTGTCCGGGTTTACCCATAACGGATACTGTAGAGCAGTTGTTCTCTGGAGCTGAGCTACTATCAAGGCCTATGTACGTACGTACCTACATGTACCTGAAGGTAATAATATCCCGGACCGCATGTTGGCAACCACGGCCGGATGTGCGCTCTCTCGTCGACCTGAGTAAGCGCAGCCCAAGAAAGCTTCTCTTGCAGCGCGGCTAGTCCCAAATCCAGCTTCTTGATCCTGCAGAGAACTATGCCCGGCCCGCGCTCGATCTGCAATCCTGGTTCTATTATTATACCTGCACTTCGTTCGTGGTACAAGTGGTATTGATGATGGAAATAGAAACACGATCGTGGGTTCTCATGACACTCCTGAGCAGGTTTACGCTCGTGGCAACGATGTAGATATGTACTGCAATTAATGTTTCACCTTGGATTCATCGCGAGCACGACTTCAGGGTGGGATGAGGTTGCGTGTGCGTGTGTGGAGACGGGGTCTTAGTCACCACTAGTGAAGCGAAGCCACACCAGGACCCGTATCGGTGTGAGCCCTATCACGGACGTCTAAGCCCCGTCGAGTGACGTCCCTTGTTCCAGACCAGAGTAATAATAATGCCGAACAACTGAGGATTTTAAACTTTTGACTGGACTGTGAAGTATTAAACTGATGGATCTTACATGTCCCTGGCACCTAACACCGACAACGAACACATTGAAGGTACATAGATGGTAGAATCCAGCGGGGACGAAGCTTCGAAGGCCAATTAAACTTTGTTTTCTTTTTCCACAGGCACGTGTGCAGAGTCTTGGTTATAGGCTACATGTAGCACCTCCCAAGCCCATTCCACAAGTGTTCAAACTGTATCCCGAATCACAAGTTGCCCGTCCGACTGCTCCCTCCCCGACCGGTGAACGATGCGCACAATCCATAATATGTAACCTACAAGAAGATCCACCTTTCCATCTCCACAACTCGTTGAGCGAGTGTTCGAGCTTACAGTGTGAAACACATGCGCCAAACCAGTGCACTTAAAAGCAAAGCGATATCGCAGACAGTCGCTCACTCGCATAAGAATTGATCGAGTGTCACCGCCGCGGCGCGGAGTGATGAAGTGCCCAGACGCATGCATGCAGCTCAGAAGGTTCTGCACAACGGGAATGTGAAGTGACCTACATATACATGTCTCTCTGTCCAGCAGTATATCTTATATCTCAACCCCTGAGGAGATGCCGTCGATTCAATGCCTAACGTCACGTCAGTGAGCCGGCAAAGGCCTTCGTGATTCACAACGAATACCGGACGTAAGGGCTGACCGCGCCCGGGCTCGCTTGAAGAGCAGCCATCTCTGCATCATGTCGTGACTTGTCCATGCATATGATGATTCATAAAACACGCTCTGTAGATCGTGCCCTCTTACATACAACAATCCTTATTAATTGATTGGAAGTGGCGTCGGTCTTTTGCCAAGAGACCAAGACACGAGTGAGATTCCATGATTAACTACTGCCAACCTTAGAGATCTAATCTGAAATTTATTCGTTCCTTTCCATCTACAATTATATGCATGCATTAACAACCCGCTCTATAGTACAAACCACCACGACATCAATGTACCTACCACAGCTTAAAGCCCCCCTTCACCAACCTCTGGAACACCTTCCCCTCATCATACACCCCACTCACCCCCCTCAACCTCTCCACCACCTCCTCGCCATAACTCTCCACAACACCCTGATCCTGCGCCGCATCGTTCAGATACAAGAACGGCTCCTCCACCCCCAACTCCCTCGACTTCTCCGCCAGCTTCGCCATAAACGCCTTCCCCGTCCCCAGCACAAGCTCATCATCCGCCTCCTCCGCCCACATCGCATTCAGACAGAACCACACATGCGGCGCCCTCGGCACGCCCATCGCCCTCCCTCCCGTGCTATTCGCCACATCCACCATCGCCGTCGAGATCGGCTGATACGTGAGCGACCCCAGGAACCCCGGCACATCATCTAGCGCTGCATACGTGCTCGTAAACAGGTCAATGGCATACTGGTACATCTCCTCGCTCACCAGCACCGACAGGTCACGGAACGACTGCCGCGCCACAGGAACACTCTCCATCGAGTATATCTCGTTCGCAAAACTACTCAGCGGCCGCACGCTCGCCGTATTCTGGAACGGGCCGACATCAAAGAACGGCTGCAGCGCCTCCGGCACCGTCGCCTCCGGGTCCTGATGGAACACCTGCAGCGTCAGCAGCTCGGCCGACTGCGACGGCATGCGGATGAACGATGATATGATTGCGGCCTTGGGGTCCTCGATCTGCCCCTTTTCTTGGAAGGCCTTGATGGCGCTGATGATGGCCGGGTACTGGTAGGGGAGGAAGTAGAGCGTGCCGCCGTAGATGAGGCCCGACGGCTTGGGGATGGTGGCCAGGTCGATGCGTGTGACGAGGCCGAAGTTGTTGCTGCCGCCCTTGAGCGCCCACCAGAGGTCGGGGTGGGAGGTGGCGTTGGCGTTGACTACCTCGCCGGAGGCGAGGACGACTTCGAAGTTCTTGACGGTGTCGGCGGCGAAGCCTTCAGTGCCGGAGAGGAAGGAGAGGCCGCCTGAGATGCGAGTTAGTATCCCCCTCGCCTCAATTCGAGTTTTAGAAAGAATTACCTCCGGTAATAAGACCGCCTACGCCGACAGGCGCGACTCTGCCGCCGACGACCAGCACGTCCTCGCTCTCGCACTTCTCGTACACGTTGATCCACCTGTTTCCCGGCCCGATGCGCGCAACGCCGCTCTCGTGGTCGATGGTCACCTCGTTCAGGTTCTCCAGCGAGAACAGCACGCCCCTGGAGATGGACGCTGCGCCGGGGTCGGGCGTGTGGCCGCCGCTGCGGATCGCGAAGGGTGTGTTGAGGAAGGCGGCGATCTTGACGCCTGTTGCGGCGGTGCTGGTGCTGTTGGGCGAGAAGATGCACGATGGTGTTAGGTGGGCCCGGACAGACCTAGAGGGCACATTAGTATCTAATTGAAGAAGGAAACGGGAGACTAATGGGGGTGAAGGTACCAGTTGATGCCGACCTTCGAGGTATATGCGACCTCGGCACCAGGGAGGACAGTGCTCTCGGGGAAGAGGAGGCCCAGCAGCGAGCACGATATATCGACATTGTCACCCGCAGCGTCGTAGGACTCGGCCAGCCCGGAGATCTCGGTGGACGAGAGACCAAGGCCCTCGGCGAAGGCTTCGAGAGCATCGGTGTTGCTCTGGTCGGCGCTGACAAAGTTGCTGCCGAGGGAGAAAAGACCGGCGAGGAGGAGGGAGCAGGTTGAGGTCTTCATGGCTTCGAAGTTGTGGAATTGTGATGGTGGAGTAATAATCTCTGCGGGATATCATCTCGCTTTATATACTCCCCATCCTACTGGCTCTAACATCTACATACAGGGGTATTTAAATTTCTGGGGGGAATCAGATTGGTTTTCGATATGAAGCCCCAGCGCTCTGGGTGGGGTTAGAGTAGGGGTTCTAGCTTCTGACGTGTGTATATGCACAACCTGGAATGTCACTATGTTGCTATAGCTACCGGGTGTGGTTTACCCACTGGCCACCAATCTGGAGGAGAGGAAGCTGTTTCGCGTGCCGCACGTTTACATGACAGCCTGCGGCGTCCTGCGGCGTCAGCAGTGGTTTGCTTAGTAGTAGCATTCCTTTGCGCAGATCTGAGGGCTAACCACCACCACCATAACCTCAACCACAACGTCCTCCATATGCGTTCTACTCGAAATCGCCCAAGAAGGAGCGAAACGTGCCAGCCGAGAGTTAGGGGGTAGATTCCCTTCTCATCTCTGTACCCACAAGCGATATTCCTGAAAGATAGAAATTACTTCCATGTCGTTCTCGCACTCGCACTCGCACTCGCACTCGCTCACGTTCCCGCATCCGTGTTCGGCACCGCAACCAGGATACCGGATGCGGCTGATGACGAAGCAAAGCGGTGAATTATTACGCCCCCTCTGGCGCTAGGACGGATGGGGGATGATGTGCTGTGCTGTGCTGTGCTGTGCTGTGCTGTGTTCTTATTGGCCCAGCTAGCAAGAAGGAATCGTACGTTGGCTTAGATTTCGGTACCCGTTGTGGAGGCGATTACTACTTGGGAATTAATACTACTCTAATCCAACCACCACCTTGTCCCTGCATATTGAGGCTTTTTGGGGGCGGTGTGGTCGTGAACCGTACTCGCTTGGCAAGGTATGTATATATCTTTGTGCTTGAATCGAGGAAGCTTTGATTGAATGCTGGGCAGGGAGCTACTTTATCTGTTCCAAGATCCTGTCGTTGCAATTGGTGGACGCCCACGGTCTGCGAGTGTTATTTAATACCTGCGCCCGATCAACACTTCTCATCTAGCGATGGATTCAATTAACTGCGGCAACTAGACATCACGGTCCGGGACTCTCGTACGAATGTCACGCCTACGTGCGATATTTGCGAGATGAAATGTCACGCCATCAGGAGAGGTGGTAGCGCATATGTGTTGTGCCCGACAATGCAGATCTGGAGCAGATTAGTAGGGTCGCCTCGGTTGGGTTTACTAATCAACCAAATGAGACATGTCTGGATTGGGATAATTACTAAGTCTTGGTCGGAATATATTGCAGGGTCTACTAATATCGGAATCGCAGTCTTGTTTATACAGATGTACATATCAAGATATACTGAAGAATACTACACATTTTATTCTACCAAGGAACCCCAATACCTGTCTTCTGGATGCTTTGATCGAGGGCCTTTTTCATTATTAACAGCTAAGACTGACTCTACAGGCCAGAGCACGACATATCATTACCACCTATATCGCAACCAACCAGCCAACCTGTCCTCCGCTCTCCCACCCTCCACCAAAAACCTCGCCCCCACCTCAATGCCGTCCATCCACCTCCCCAACCCACAATGGCAGTCCCAGAAGTCCCACCCCGCCCACTAGTCTCCCCCCACCCCTCCGAAAAGGTCCTCTCCCGCATCTCCTCCTTCCACCGCCCCCGCCCCAACCTCAACCTCCCCCCCATCCCACCGCGCACACCCCCCGCCGCCCTCCGCCAGGCCCACCGAGCCCAGGTCCCCGCCAGGCGCCGGGAGGCCAAGAAGAATAATACAACCACAGAGTTCACCAAACGCGCCATGCTCCAAGCACAAGGCAACGCCGAAGACCTAGCTCACTCCCCCACCACCACCCCCACATCCAAAGACACCGAAAGCCCCACCGAGAGCATCGATGCCGCCGAGCAGCTCACCGAGATCCTCCCGCACCACCTACCACCCCACCGCGGCACCTCCGGACTCCTCCACAGCCCGCGCCCCGTGTTTGCGCTGTCGCCCACATACCGGGCGCGCGGCCCGGGGAGGTCGATGATCCCCGTGGCGGTGGCAGGGTCGCCGCTCATGTACCGGGAGGTTGTGAAGCGGCCGGTGATGCTGCCGACGAAGGAGCATGATGGCAGGGGGAGGAAGAGGGAGAGGGTTTTGGGTTGGGGGGTTGCGAGCCCGGCGGCGAAGAGGGGGGTGGCGGTGGGGAGTGGGAAGGAGGAGGTGGGGGCTGTGAAGAAGGAGGTGGAGGGGTAGCGGGGGGTGTGGGGGAGGTCCCAAGGTTCGATTGTGGGGCTTGTGAGGCGTGAAAGCTGATTGTTGTGCTTGTGATATGTTTATGGTGTCCTATTATGGTGGGATATATCTTCGGCTTGGAGGCGTTGTGGAAATGCGCATACCTGATTACTTGCTGGGTAGGCTTTGCTCTTATTGGATAATCTTTCGCTGATAAGTGATGGATTGCTTTATTCGTTATTATGGTAGAAATTAGATGATTAATGCGGGCGAATACTTGATGATTAAATCAATTAATCAATTAACGAAGGCGAATTCTTGAATTTGTTTGGTCCGAGTGATATTCTGTGACTCCGTCAAATCAAACCGCAACACTCCTGATTGATCGACTGATAGTTCATTTATTGTGCCCAGTCCCGAGCCTATGATGACGTTTAACAGTAATAATAGTAGGAAACGAGAAATGGGATTGATTTAATTTAGGGAAAGGGTCTAAAATGACACAGTTTTCGGTATACGTGCCCTGCAGTAACACACGATGCACGCCGAGAGCACAACTTGAAAGACAATTGGGCATTAAAGCCACTAGTAATAAGGATCGATTCCCAGCCCCACCACTCATCCCTTCCTCCCCTAGAAAAATCAAACGTAGAAAAGAAAAAAAATTCTACAAAACTACAAAAGGTACTGCCGCGACTTATTAACCTCCGATGTTATTACATAATTGCTCAGCTATCCATATCTTCATTTTGGATCGTATGTAGCGAACTGCTGTGTCATAGAGCACGTCTACCGAAAACTGTGTCATTTTGAACCTTTTCCGTTTAATTTTATTTTGTAAACAGTGTGGCCCACGATGCTACTGAAGGCTAGTAGAGACGAGTGCCTCTGCGGCTCTGCGGCTCTGCCCCGTATTGGCTTGCTCGTGCAAGGAGAAGTGGTACATACCTCGAGCTACTCGAGGCAGATAATTACTATATTTAGACGTATCAAAATGTTATCATAAGTGGAATTTGTTTTTTCCTCTATTAGTCTCTTCTTAGATCACCCCGTCCCATATACAACGCTCTTGGTTCGCGTTGCGTGCTTTCCGTTCTTCTCTTATCTCAACACTCCTTTCCACTGCCACGTACTGGTATTTGCGGCCCCCTTTACCGTCACATAAATCAAAATCCGGCTGCAAGAGCATACTCGCAATTTATAGCGTTTGAATATGACTGGGTCTGCATACTAATTAAACAAAAAAAAAAAAAAGAAAAAAAATAGCCAAATCTTGCACGGGGCTCTTAATCTTGGTGGTGCGCGGTTATGTTTAGAAATTCTATGAAATTTCGATGACACCCGTGTTTACTTGGCCCAAAACCTAGCCTTTTCCGCCATATTCAAGCATAAAACGAAATTGACGTGAATTTATTATTATAAAAGAACTCGTCCTACTTCTACTCGGCACAGCAGTGCCTTATACCAAACATTAGATAAAGAATAAAGCACATATCCATTACCAAAACAATAGGTATCCAAGTAGATGTGAGGACCGAGATCCAAAATTCGAAGCCCTTAGTTTATGCTCTTAGTGCGTCTAGCTTTCGCCACTGCCACTCCTCTGCGTGCCTTTCTTGACTGAGGTGCAATCTTCTTTGGCACAGATGCAATCCTCCCAGGTCCAGGTGCATCCTCTTCCGGCGCCTCCGGGTCTTCCAAGATCGTTTCAAAGCCCAGGTCGCCAATAAAGTAGTCAAGGCACCCGCTGAGATTCTGATCGTTGTATCGCGCGCATCTAACCCGTTAGCCTGGAATCATATAGAGACGGGGATCCGCTACTTACCCTATTTTTCAACGCCTTCCCGACGAACTTGTCGTACATGAGCAGAAAACCCAGCTTAGCGACAAAGATATCTTTCACTTGCGTTCTCAGTCTCAGGCCCTGACTTGTTGGCCTTCCCCAGAACCAATCGCGCACGATATTGTGGTATCCCCGGAATGTGTATATCCACTCCACAGGCTCACCTCGAGCAGGATCGCTGACCTCCATCTCCACATCTTTATCTCCTCTTGCGCTGGCCAGAAATTCCTCCAGCCTATGCATTTGCTTGCCTTGCTCTAGCAATACCGCCCTATTTACCTCCGGGAAAAGCTCCAAGATCTCGGCGTAGAAATTATCGACAGCCTCCTGGAAGCCCTTCACTACTTGGTCATAGGCCCACTTCGCCACAGCGGGACTTTTGTCGTGGCTGTATGGGAGAATGATGTTCCGGAACCGCACAGTGTCTCGTTTTAGCAGGCCCTTGTCAATCAGCTTTTTGAGCTCTTTGGTGCAGCGCTCGTAGGTGAAGATGTCGATCCGGCCATTCAGCGTGGGCTGGGTATGGCTGATGTTCTGCACGACGGTGAGAGCCTGGCTCTTGTAATTTTCTGGAAGACTGTTTTTGATGGAGGTGTAAAGATCATAGGACGGATGGTTCTGGAGTTCGTTGAGGCGGCATGAAACATAGAGCTGCTCGAGTCGATGCATGGAGTACACAAAGCCAAGGGACCAGTATGTTGGGTCTGTTTATAGCAGCTGGTCAGTCAAGTACTCTAAAATAGCGGCGGGAAGAAAGAGGATGGGAAGTGCAAGAGACATTTAGTTGACTCAAAACCACCATTGAGGAACAGGTCCCACAAACTGCGCTTGGCCTTTTTCTCGCGGAAGTTGTAGGCATCGAGTGGAATGCAGAGCCGGATGTCGTTGAGCATTCGTGAAATAACCACTCCAGCCTTCTCCTCGGAGATTTCGGCGCTGACATTGTTGTCTTCCCTCGACAGAATCGACAGACAGATGTCCCGCCATATCCATAAGATGATCCGGAAGGGATCATAGCCAGTTACACTTCTCCATGAATGAATGACCGTGTTCTTGCTAGAAAGAAGCCGGACATGTCTATTGTACTCGAGGTCTTCTATATCGTAGCTACTCTCTCGGTGTTAGAAGCACCATCACAGGAGAAGGCAGCAACAAAAAGGAGAAGGAGGGAGGGTTTACCATTCTCCCAGACTCTCGACCGTGTGCATTGTGTTTACAGCGAAAAGAAGGCATTTGTGCGCCTCCAAGCTACTTTCGGTCATCTCAGCATCCTCATTCGCCTGGAGCGCGATACTGTGAACATTCGGTATCCAGTTCAAAAGCGCCCTGACCACCATGAGCCTAAGTTCTGCTTGCCGGATTTTGTCAGCAGGCTTTATGTCTTCAGGTTTCATCTCATCGATCTGCCTAAGCTCATAAATCGGCCGATCCATGGATTTGCGGGTCCTTTCGAAGTCGTAGTCATCTTCCTCTTCTGGTTGGGTGTTGCCAGCAATGACGACGGGGTTGGTTAGAGCGGTGAAATTTGACGGCGATTCCTGTTTCACAAGTACACGGATATGCTTTTGCCCTTGGGTGGCCCTTGGGTGGCCCTCCCCAGGCTCATTGTAGCGGTGATCTTCCCTCCTGGTGGTTGCTCGATGGCCGTTGATGGTGGCTAGGGTGGTGTTGCTCTACTTCGATGGGTGTTGATGGTGTTTATCTGCTGTTGTTTGTTCGCGCTGCTACATAGCAGGGTATGTTGGGTATCGAGTGACCGCTTGTGAAGTGCGTCTTGGCACTCATGGACAACATCATGGATTCCGATCTGGTAAAAGGATGTGGCAACGCAACAAAGCCTCAGCAGTTCACTACTGAGCTCTGAAGGCCTCAACCAACGGGACCAGTACCCCAAAGATTATTTCTGGGTCACTAAAGTTTTAGAACTTTAGGAATATTTGAAACTCACCGGTTGCGTGGTTCTTCGGAATAAGGAATTGGCTGTGCGGAAGGTTTTACCAGATAGACACCCATGTAGTGACGCGATATACCTGAGCTAGTCTCGTGCCCATGGCCAGTATGTGGTGTGATTCTTGTAATCTTTAGAACGAGGACGAGTTGTCAAAAGTCTGGGCACGAGACTAGACCTGAGCTTCAATACCTCAACCTCTCTTCGCATTTTTACCATCTTACTTGGCCCTGTCTTGTATTTCATCGTGCCAAATATCCAAAGAAATGAATAAGCACTAGATAATTGCAGGGGATTGGCACGTGGTCTTTAATACATATAATAAAAATGCAATAAAGATAAATATTTCGATAGTTGTAAGGATTGTGATTGTGATTGTGATGGGTACAATACATGTATGCTACTATTTACGATGCCTGGGGGTACTTGTGCGTGTTCGTTTCCTTATCGCTAACTGGGTACGGTTTTAAAATTTCAATATCTGAGAAATCTTTTGCGCAAAGTTAAGCAGCTGGTCCGTCATGATTTTATTCTACAATCTAACGTGGGTTGCCGGGTAGGACTATCAATGATAATCATGAATACAGGCTCTGATGTAAATATTAATAAAGAACGATTCACATTTTCTTGCTTCAGCCAGTCATGCATGTATCGTGTGTTGAAACTTTTATTTTAAGACCCCACGTCTCCCCGTTCTGAGAACGTACATGTAGCCCTTTGCGTTACTAAATGATATCTGGGCGAGAATGACAAGAGAGAAAACAAAAACAAAGAAAGACATGCACTATTTAGGAAACTCTTAACAGAAAATGAAATTACAAGATCTCGGCTTAAAGCCCAAACATGAACGTAATTCCAATTGCTGCGGCATCCCGACGGCTTGACTCTGGGTATTCACTAACCCCTACTGCTCCCAGTGCAAAACCCTCTTCTTCCAGGCGTCCATCATACCCACAGGCAATGCTCCCGGCCTAACGATTTCCAATCCTCCCCACTTCTTCGCAACCCCGTCACCGAAAGACGCCAAGATCCATTCCCAGTACTCATCAATCCCATCATCACCTCCAATCGAATGGGGAGCTGATCTAACAGCGTCGGAAAGGCAAAGAATGCCCATCTTCATCTCAGGTGTACGTTTGGCTTCGCAACGAACCGCAATCTTGAGCAATTCTTCGTACGCTTCTTGCCAATGCTTAAAACCACCTTCACGGAACATGACGTATTCCTCAAAAGACATGAAAGGCTCATCCTTGAGATGGGGGTAGTTTGCATCATCCCTCCTGACCCTTCCTTCGTCCCATTTCTGTTTGAGGTTGTCATACATCTCGAGGTCCTTCTCGATGGCTTCTGCAAATATCTCTGAGGGATCCTCGCAAATCTCGTTCCTGATAGCTTGCTGATTGACGAATGGATTTTTGACTTCCAGTCCTCCCAAAGCAATGGGCCAATAGAACCACCCAGCTGGAATATCCTGAACTCCGAAACGCTGTTGAATTTGTTCTGCAAGGTAATCGATCATAGAACCAGTAGGGAAGATTTCACGGTGAATACGTTCAAGCGTGGACAGGATCATGTCGACATGCTCACGGCCGAAACACTCAGCTGCAGTTCCGAAGTTATTAATGAAAAATGCTGCGACATATTTGTTATATGCTTGGATCCAGCCGAAAATAGAGGTATGCGCCGAGAGTTGAAGTCTGAGCTCTGCAATGTGAACGTCGACTTGGGCTTGGTCGATTACGAAACGTCCAGAAGATTCGAATTTGAGAAATCCCCATTTGACATCACCCTCAGGAAGCTCGGGGTGTTTCTCTGCAGAGGCTCCAACAGTTACAGACCCTGTTTTTTCATCATTGAAGGAAAGCCCGACCAAAGATGAGAAGGTTTGGATCTCTTTCCAGGCTGCTGCACAGTTGTCAGGGTTGCTATTCCACAACCAGAAATCATCGTGGATGCGATACAAAAACATCCCGTTAGCGCGTTGGTTTACAGCATAGTCCATGCAAAATAGAACTGCTTCGCCGAGGACGGTACTGAGACTATGCGAGATTGGGACACCACATTTTCGGACACGAACAGATGAAGAGCCACCATCGGCAGCAAAGAGGAGGGGAGTCTCAAGAAAGGTTTTGAAGAACTTGATCCACTCAGAAGAAACGCCGAAGAAGGACATCACTGTCAGGATTGAGGCATGAGATAGGCCAGGGCCAAACCAAGAGAAGTCGGAGCGCACAACAGTAAAACTCCCATGAATGGCGGTGCTGAGGAGGCATTCAGTGCTAAGAATATGGAGGAGAGACTGCTTTGTCTCCAACGCGCTCTTCAAATATTCTCCATCTGTATCACCACCACTAGATTCGGAATCATAGTTGACGATCGTACCACCGGTACCAAGTTGTGCCATGAAAAAGGAGTCGCGCTGAGACTGATAACGGTGGCCTTCGATTGTTTCTGGGTTGTTCTTTGGAGAAAACTCCTCAATGTTCTCTTGAAGGAAATATTTGCGTCGCTCAATGTGTTCTTTTGACAATTTCCCGACGCATGGTTTCCAGGCGGGAGAACTGAACATGCTTTTAAAAAGGTCCCGGAAGCACCCACACCACTGCATTCCAATGTACTCCAACATCAATGCCTGCATGATCTCCTCGTCCTGGAAGACACGGTACTTCTGGTTCAGTTGTCTCCTCATCTCTACTGGAATCCCAAAACCTGCAGTATTGTCTCCTTCCCAAGTCCATGAAAACACAGAAGCAAGATGCATGTTGAGCACGTCGGTCACCTCACCCAGGATGACTTCATCACGTTTGAACTCCCTCAATGTGTCTTTCTTCTCGTTTGACATGAGATCAGAGGTAAGCAATGCCTCAATCGTGAGTTTCAAATCCTCTTGCGAGATCTTTGAACTCCCAATCACATCACCGGATTCCTTTACAGCCTCGCGGATTGCTTCGAGTTTAGCCTTATTTTCTTTTGTGGATGTGAAGAGTTCCTGAAGGTATGACAGGATGGCTTTTTCATCAACTTTGTTTTCGGTGAAAACTTTGGACTCGAAGATGGCACGCTGCTCATACATCTCCTTTCTGCCAATTTTTTCGAAGCTTTCAGAATCAGGGGAAGTGGCTGCCTGAGTAGCTGGAGAGCCTGCTGAACCAGCGCTCTCAACCCATTCCATCAAGAGCTTTCCGAAAAGCTCGGCATACTGAAGCCTGACTTCTTCAAATTCGAAGTCTTTGATGATTTTTGCCTCCCATTCCTGAAGACATGAATTGGCAAGAGTTGGGTCGTACTTTGCCTGAAGGAGGAGCTGCTCGATGTTGGAGATATAAGCGGGTGGATCACGGCCCAATTTTGTTTGGGTGCTCCAGGACTTGATCCCATCGAGGAGGATTTCGACCTTTTCTTGCTGGTCCGATGCAGCTTGAGCGGATTGTAAGATCTGCTCCTTTTGTTCAATAAAAGCGGTATTTTGCTTTTTAAGGACACGAAGCTTAGTCTTCGTGATGGAATCAAGCGTTTGAGAGAATGCTGAAGTCATTTTTGATAGAGGAATGAGAGTTGATGATGAAGGAATGAGAGTTGATGATGAAAGAATCGGAGATGATGATGAACCGATGAGAGACGATGATGAGGATGGATGGAGAGAGGGATGAGCAGATTCGAATACGATGAAATTCGAATATCAGGATTTGAGGGGACGAGGAGAGGGAGATGAGATGATGACGGATGAGAGATGGAGAGAAGAAGAGATGGAGATGAGGAGATGATGGAGGATGGATGATGGATGATGATGGATGATGGATGATGATGGATGAGCGATGATTTTGGGGATGAAGAGAGATGGTGGTGGAGTGAAGAGAAGAGGAAGAAGAGGAAGAAGAGGATGGGTGTGGGTGGAATATAAGTAGGAAGGCGGGACTGCACAACGAGCAACGAGTGATACGACAAAAGTGTGGGAACGAATCTAATGGGAAGGAATCTACTTTATGAGGGGAGGTCGACGCGCGGCGCTTCTATCCCGCCAATAGATGGGAAGCTTTGTTTATCAATTGTATGCGGGACGTTCCCTGCCTAGCGCTCTACAATGCTTTCTTGGTCAATGGCGAGCCTGAATGCTCACCTATTGATCATGGTCAATCAACTTCAAAGGGGCGTCATTAGCCCGTTTGCCAATGTAAATTGAGTGTTGGGGGATCTGATTTGGGCAGCGGGATTATGTATATTCAACTTGCCCTTGGCTACATTCACATTAATATTCAATTTCAATAAATAAAAAACAAGCACAATCGAATCAGGACTTAGATGTAAAAAAACTTTTGATATAGAATGACTGCATGTATGCATGTAGGATAAAGAAAATCAATCTTAATAGACGGCCGCGGAGGATGAGGACGATGCAAAGAACACAAAAGTGAACAGATGAGTCATGCTTTCGCGGGTGAGACTGCATGATTCTTCACCGTTAATTCATGTATGTACGTACCCTGGTCCGGTCATTCGCCATTGACCCAGAAAATATTTTAGATAGTACCTACATGTACTAGGGGGGCCACCTCGCGACCGCGAGTTGTACTTTGGATTATGGGTATAAAATAATTATGGAAGGTCTTTAATGGGGGGGCCTTCGGCCACCCCCTCCCCTTCCACTTCCTGCTCTCTCGAGTTCAATTCTTCCCCTTCCACCTCCTGCTCTCTCGAGTTCAATTCTTCCCCTTCCATCAGTTAGAGTTCGTTCAGTCGTGAGTGCTCAGTACTTTGATGTATCGTGCTTACTAAACCACCCCTGTCGCTCTCGACCAATCATTGAGAAAAAAGTACGGAAAACCCAAAGACAGTACATATTAGATTAGACATGTAGTGTCGCATTCAATTGACACACAAATATTCCTTGGCAGCAGACTCAGCGGCCAATTCTTTCGTGCAATGTAGGACTCAGTAGTACTGGTTGGGCCACAGCCAGTTGTTCAATTGGTAACGGACACTAGCCGTTGATCAACTAGTTCAATGGGTAACGGACACTAGCCGTTGATCAACTTCAATGGTTGAGTCACTCTAAGCCTGTGCCACGCTTTTGCGTGAATCTGTGCCACGCTTTTGCGTGAATCTGTGCCTAATAGAATCTTCTTTGCGCAATTAAAATTACGCCTAACCACGTACATGTATTTAAGCTTGACTCATTCCACAGAAGTTATTGGTCCGGTACTTACATGTATGCCAATTTGCCAGGACAAAGCCAGCCATGAAATGAGAGTATAAATATGCTTTTCCTTCGTGGCATTACCATGCATGAGTAACGACATCCGGTGCTGACAGTAAACAACACTCTGAGTCTACGTATCATGAATGCAAAGCACATGTTATAGGTGTTTTGGAGTTCGTTTTAAGCCAATATATTCTACCTATGTATTATAGACTACTGGTAGAAGGATTATGTAGAAAGTCTAACCTAGAAACAAGCAAGTATGTCCGCGACCAACAGCTCATGTAGCACCCTTCAAAGATACCTTCTCCCCCATCAGACTCGTAAACAATTAATCATCCAGAAATGTCCAGCCAAGAGGACTAGTGGGGCCGGGGCCTATAGCCGTTGCCCCCGCCTGCTCTAAGCACTTTATACACTCGTCCCACTCTTCGTTTTTTGCCCTATTCAGTGCTGACTTCCCTTGATAGTCCAGGGTATCGAGGCTCAGCCCTTTTTTCTGAAACCTTTCAATCAACATCTTTAGCCCCTCCACATAGCCTAACGCAGCAGCGACATGCAGGGCAGTCAGGGTATTATCTCCAGTGCACACAGCCATATCCGCACCCGCCTCCGATAGAAGCTCAACTATCTTGGCGTGCCTCATTTGCATGGCTATATACATTGGCGACAACTTCCAGTACCGACAACCACGGGGATCCACTCCGTGCTCCAGCATCTTCTTGACAACCACATAATGGTTGAACTCTACCGCATGCATGAAAGCCGCACCCTTCTCGATTTCGCGGGCACCATGGTCGAACATGCGTCCAATCAGTCTCTCCTGGCCGTGCATCATCATCCTGCGGAACGAGCAGATGCTGTCTCCGCTAAAACACGACCAAACCATTCTGTAGTGCTTGCCCAGCGCCTTGAGGCTTTGTGATCCCTCGCATACGTGGATTCTTGGCCCGGCGTTGAGCATCTTGGCAAGAGTTTTGTCGTTGTAGGGCTCATCTGGGAGGCCGTAGAGCTTTTGCTGACGCCTGTATTGTTCAGCGATGAACACGGTGATGTCGAGTGCATTTTCCATCAGCAGGCGTACTAGGCGAATGTTTCCAATAGCGACACTCCAGTGAAACGCAACTACCCCGTATTCGCGTTGAGTGCTTGCGAGGCGGTCGAGAAGTGGGGTGAAGACGGCGCAGAAACGACGGTTGGTGCAGATGAGGGATCCTAGGTCCGAGTGACCACTGGCCCTTTTTCGAGCTGTGGGAGGGAAAGTGGCATTATCGCCATTGTCGGGAGTCTCTAAAAGATAGTCGCTGATGAGAGTCAGGAGCTCGGTGGGCAGCGAAAGCAACTACACCTCAGGTGATTCTTGCATGTTGCTTTAAGATGAGGTTCAATGTAGGTACGCACGGTGGTTGGAGTAGTACTATAGTAATTAGGCGATGAATAAGGAGGAAGAAGAAGGCTGGAGTAGAGTGAGAAAACCTTACCTTATATACACATATCCTACTTACGTACGCAACATCTAACGATAGCCCCTATTCGTTCAATTGATTTCTTAACAGACCTATCGATAACCGCCAGTGATCACATACACACATATGTGATGCACAGTTTTCATTTGTTCTCAAGGTCAACTTAAAAACAACCCCACAAAATACATTCTTCAGCTAATGGAAGTTTTTTCCAACTCACAGCCAGTGTATCGGAAAATTCGTCAAAAGTATACGCAGGTACGAAATTTTCGCTCCCTGGTCACGTGCGTCATACATCATCACTCGACGAACCCTTAACACGATATGTTGAATTTATTAGGTACAGGCTGGGACAAATATCCCACGTGTTCGAAAGCAGTCATACTTAGGAGTTTTATGGAAAGCTGTGGTATGTCACAATACGGTCATATGCATGCCGTGTCTCTCCTTAAGCTTGGCACGATTTAAAAATCAAAATCAGAAGGGGGAGAGCTAGAGCGCATTTATCGATAAGTGGCATTTCACAGGTTGTTGTTACTCCGAATTGCGACTTACTACATGTAATGTCGTATCAAAGTAATAAACAGTATAAAAGGCTTGCTTAGGATTGGGTGCGGGTTTTATATAACTCAAGCGAGAGGCCGGGGGTACCAAAACTCTATTTGTACTTCTAGAACCGATCTGGCCATATATATACTTGTATTTACTTAAGTCTCCGATATATCCATGATCATGAGACCCCCACATATCTGCCAGTGCCGATAGGTCGAGCGATATTCATATGACGGAGTTGAATTTATAGGGCTTAGGTGCAACATCAAAGATTGTAAAGGAGGGCGGGAACGTTCATTCTATCTTAATTTGTGTTTCATGTGAAACTTGTGCTCGCAAAAATGTTTCCATTATTTATATAGCATGCATCCTGCGGTCATCACGATAAGACTACATGTAGTCTTCCACCTTCCTACCTGTCAACCGGTATTTACACAGGCACAATCATGCCTACGTGCATTTGTGTATAACATACTTATGGCCGGGTGACAAAAGTAACCGTGATTTTGCGTAGCAACCAGCAAAAATTGCCCAAATCGATCAACTCCCAAAGTCGGTTCTCGAGATTCATACCTAAGGGATAGGTTCTATCAATCTAAGGCTTTCTAAGTATACAATCGTTTATTTCATATCTATTATGGTTGTGGAGTTATACTTGTTTCAAGACGCATTCCCATACAAAATCTGGTTGCAATAGAGTCTTTTAGCTGCTGTTTTCGGAAGAGACTTGCAGTCGTTCAACCAACAAGATGTGCAGGACTTTTTGTCGAAGTGCTCGACTTTCTGTCCAACTATTGCAGCTAAAAGACTCTAATGCAAAATCACGGTTACTTTTGTCACCCAGCAATACCTCGGAGCTAAACCAGGGCCCGGAGATCCAAACGGAGTGAAAGCGCTACGAAAGTCATCGCGTTGGGAGTTGTCCTCTATCAACTTTATCAGTTCAGTTTATCCCCACGTGCAGGCGCAACTGTTTGGGTTTTTGTGATTATAGAGGGTTAGGTTTAGTGTCTACCTACACACAGCTACAACTCAAACCAGACGCCGTCCAGACCAGATATTCGACCAGATTTTACCCAACGTAGCACCAAACAGCTATGCACGCAAATATCCGAAGGTCACAACTCTCATGTAATACCAACCGGTTGCATGCCCGACACTCCCCGTGAACCCCTGCGAATGTGGGGTAATAGAGTCTTTTAGCTGCAATAGTTGGACAGAAAGTCGAGCACATCTTGTTGGTTGAACGACTGCAAGTCTCTTCCGAAAACAGCTAGACTTTCTGTCCAACCTGTTCGACTTTCTGTTCAACTCGCGCAGCTAAAAGACTCTAATAGCTCCAAGGTCAGGGATTAACTCGCTTGATAACCCTAACCCCATAAGGCGCCGTTAAAGTTGTGGACCGCGGGCTTGGAAGAACTGGTGGCTGGCTATGGGGGTTAAGCTTGTTTAGGTGGGAAGCTATTGCTTCGTATCCACCGGATTTTTTGCAACAGGATAAAATTATTCTGCCGACCCTGCTTGGAATGATCATACCTATATGTATCTCCCTCATAAGTTCTTTGTGTATGTTTGTTCGCGTTTGAAGCGCTCTACACTCGCTATTGTTGATTTATGTGAGTTCTTGTTAGGTAGATCTGCTGAACTTCACATGTAAAAGCTAAAGATGCCGAGTTTGCCTACATCAAAGGTTAATTGTCAGTCCATCAGGTGCTTCGACGACGACGTCAACGTCACAGAGATCTCCATAACTAATCTTTGACGTACGTCTCTACTCCTCGATGACAATTAACCCGAAAGTACCGCAAGAGCGATGATATCTCTTGATATTTCAAGATTTTTACCGCATTTTCTAGAATGTTCAGTGCGGTGGTCTCTCCTCCGAGCACTGGGGCCCGGTAATATTCATACCGAAAGCCCGAATAGAACAATGAGGCTGAGGTCTGATGTAGTTGCATGTATTGTTCGTTCGGGGGTCGGGTCGTTCCGGTTGTGTGGGGAATTCTATGAGTGCTGCACTTTAGGTTATGGGGTTGTGGGGTTGTGGGGTTGTGGGGTAACTATGGGGTACAGTGTTGATCGCCAAGGATTGATATCCATGCCCAGGGTCTCGGATATCCAAACGAGACTCGTATTCACCAAAAAAAAAAAGAAAATACTGAATCATAGCAATCGTAGTTATTTCGAAACCTTTGTCAGAAATCGTAAGTAGCTATGATTCAAAGATATAGGAGTATAAAAACGGCATTACCTCGCACTCGATTCAATGGATTCCTCACACTCAACTACAGGCACAAGCTATCCTCGAGATGTTATACCACAGCTTGCTCCCTCTCTTGCTCGCCCCCCTTTTAGCAGCCTCCGAGATCCCCTTTAAAGAGTACATCCTCGCGCCCCCCTCCCGGATTATCCGTCCCTCCATTGTTTATGGCACGAATGGGACTGTCTCTGGTGCCCTGCCTGGTACGCTCACACTTGCCGCCAAATCTTCTATAACCTACGATTTTGGAAAAAACATCGCCGGTTGGGTGACTCTTGTTGTTGAAGACGCTCGAAATGCCTCTTCCATCAACGTGACCTTCTCTGAGTCTTCGTTATGGATATCTAGTGAGCACTGTGATGCGACAGCAGACGCCGGCTTCGATGAGCCATTGGTGCTCGAGATTGATGGCGAGGGTGAGTATAGTGCTCCGTGGGAGAGAGAAAGGGGTGCCTTTAGGTATATGAGTATTGTAGCTGGTGAAGAGGTCGTGTTGGGAGATGCGTGGGTTTATTTTACAGCAATGCCTCATTGGGGCGAAGATGCGCTTCAGGACTATACCGGGTGGTTTCATTGCGATGATAATCAACTCAATCGGTTTGTTTGACCGCCCCTTTCCCTAGAGGGCCATTATTAACGAAAATTCGAATAGGATTTGGTACGCCGGGGCTTATACAAACCAATTGGACACGATTGACCCCTTGCGCGGAGATGCACTGATCTTTTTCCAAAAGATTACCCACACTTCCATCGTGAACGGGACTCTTCCATGGCAGTAAGTATACCCCTCTCACCCACCATCTCGACCGTTCCTAATCAAGATCCACAGCAACAACTTCACCATCACCAACGGATCCTCGGCGCTTACCGATGGTGCAAAGCGCGACCGCCTAGTGTGGGCTGGCGACATGGCATGTCACTCGCCCCTTTTCCTCTTGTCTTCCATTCCTAATAAAATCTAGGCGATCGCTGTTCCCGGGCTTGCAGTCTCTACGTTTGATCTGGTCTCTGTTGCAAACTCTCTCGACTCCCTCTTTGCGCTCCAGCTAGAGAACGGTATGCTACCGTACGCTGGCACACCATTCAACGAAGCTGGCGCCATATCTTTCACCTACCATCTCTATACTCTCATCGGAGTTGCCGATTATTACCACTGGTCCGGTAATCTCACCTACTTGCAAACTTATTGGCCAGCCTGGAAACACGCCATGTCCTGGAGTGTCGACCACATTGACTCCAGTGGCCTCGCAAACATCACCTCTCCATCTGACTGGCTGCGTTTCGGCATGGGAAGCTATAACATCGAGGCGAATTCGATCCTATATTTTACCCTCAACCTGGGTATTAGCCTCGCTAGTACAATGAACGATACCTCTGTTGTAGAAAGCTACAGTACCTACATGGCCGGTATTAAGTCTGCCGCTAATTCCATTCTATGGGACGATAAAGCGAGCCTCTATAAAGATAACGAAACCGATACCACTCTGCACCCACAGGACGGTAACGTTTGGGCCATCAAGTCCGGAATCCTCCCTACGCCCTCGAGGGCAAACGAAATTTCCGCCGCTCTCCGCGAAAGGTGGACTCCCTATGGTGCTCCGGCACCTGAGGCAGCAGACGCAATCTCGCCATTCATTTCTGGCTTTGAGCTGGAAGCCCACTTCATGGCGAACGAGACGCAGAATGCTCTTGACCTGATGAGAACGATGTGGGGTGACTTCATGCTGGACGATCCAAGAATGACGAACTCCACGTTTATCGAGGGGTACAGCACCACTGGAGAGTTACACTACGCGCCATACACCAACGATGCAAGAATTTCTCATGCTCATGGATGGGCGACGGGACCGACAAGTACCATGACTGTATGTTATTTTCCTCCTATAATTCATATATACGTACTGTTAGACTAATACTAGGCACAGATATTTATCGCCGGTATTAAACTCACTTCAGAAGCGGGAAGGACTTGGTCCATAACCCCCCAGACTGGCGACCTCAAATATGCGGAGGCAGGATTCTCAACCTCGCTGGGTTTGTTCTCGTCTTCATGGCGTTTTGAAAAGAAGAATAGCCTTTCTTTGAATATCAGTACACCTGAGGGGACGACCGGTGATGTTGGGATTCCGACAGGGGGAAAGGATGGGACAGTCGAAGTGCGGGGAAAAGGGATGAAGTTCAGGATGAAATATAAGAGTGATGAATATGAGAGGTTTTGGATTCAGGATCTGGAGGGAGGTGATTACGAAATTAATGTTTGGAGGAAGTAGTGGGGTTAAATGTATTGGTGTAAATAGTAATGAGAAATGTGTGTTTGTATTGTACTTACTTGGTGGTCGAGATCAAGTTCCAGTTCTAGATTTCTGCACCCCTAGTGAACCCCGAAACCTTGTGTGTAATTTCATTCTCAGGTGAGGCTTAGGCGACGTTAAAGCATTGTGGCTGATTAGCTGGTTCATGTTGGACCCAATAAGCTGGGCTGGCTTGTGGTTTTAAAACCGAATTCCATGCATGATGGGACTCCTTATCCCTTTCCTCCACCTTCTGCCCCCCCCCCCCCCCCTTTCTATGCCGCTTCCCAGGACCACATTTGGGGGTTGAGATCGAAGGCGGCGATACTCCAGCTCTAGTTCTGAAGGGAGGAAAACTCTTATTCTGACTCCCTCCTTTGCAGCAAAATCAGCATCGATACACGCCTTGGATGATCCAGTACTACTGTAGTTACGGCCATGAGAACATTTGTGATGGCCTCACCTGAACTACTCGTAAGTATACATGTACACCTGAAGCATATCGTTACTTGGGCCAGAAAGATTCCAAGAGGGTGAACTACTGCCAAAGTGTCCAGACTAGATACTAAAGGTGTTACAAGGTATCAGCTGTAAGGTATCCAGACTGATGATAGATGAGAAGGGCCATTCGGTCGGTGGGCTTGATGTAACGTCAAGAACTATATGGTGGAGCCGAAGAAGAAGCATTTGTTCCCGAAGTATTCAAAAGCCGATAGCCGCTTCCTAATGGCTGGACACATGACCACATTCCGCTTTTCGCAGGCAGATGATTTAGTGATATTTCCTGCCACGTCGCGCATGGCAAAGGGAAAAATTATAATTACACGCATTTATATCTTCTCAATTTATCCCAACTATGTCTAAGAACCTTTCGTAATGAAGTAATCAATCAATCAATCAATCTAAGAACCTTTCGGTACGTTGAAACATAATATAGGTGAATCACAGCCTATCACTCACTTCTTACACATTCACCACATGCAATTCGCACCATGAGGGAATGTCATCAAGGCAAAGATCGCGCCAAGCTAACCCGCATATAACTAGAACCTAAATACGATGCCTTGAAATGCTACATGTATGCATTTGATTAGTTGTTCCGTTAGTAGCTGACTCCTCGAATCCCTAACCCTGAAGCCTTGTTTTGGTAGTTCATAGGCAAATTAATTAAACAGCTTCGAGCGTCCTTTGAGGAATAACTCAAAACGAAGAATTCCCCGCCCCAAATTGGCATTCCCACGGGGAATAATTAGCTCCCAATTTTTTTAATTCCTTAATGCATGCATCATTGTGTGTCGAGCTAAACTCGACACTGTAAACCACATGTATGTACTAACTCTCGCATTCCTCAAAGAAGTTCTAGTAATAAATTCATATGCCTGTAGCTCGCTCGCTGTCAGGAGGCGACAAAATGAATCTAAAGTGGAGCATACATATTTATTCTCACATCTGAATCCGTTTCTGCATTAAAATATGTGCCCGGTTGCAGTGCGCCTTATGAGTGAGCACAAGAAGTGACATGCTCTTTTTTTGTAAAAAAATATATCATATGCAGCCATGCGGTGAAACCGGAAACTCGAATTGACGTTTCGATCTTCCCGCCGGTGGACGTAATCATGTCAGGGTGCAAGCACTTAAGATCTCGCATTGGCCACGCAAGCCCTGGAGGGCGGGTACATATGTGTGATTTCGGATCTCCGAAATCATGGATGAGCAAAGTCGATGAGTCCAAATCACATTCTGATGATACTCTACATTGAAGAGTGTGTGTGATCGTGAGCTAGGCCTAGGGCATTGAGATCTAGCAAGGATATCGATTGGTTTGATCTGGCTTACGTGTGAAGTAAGTCAGAGAAGTAGGGTTTTGTGAATTTAATAGATGTAGAGTATGTGTATGTAGGTAATATAATACCTCCTCGATTTTGTCTGTCGGAAATCAGTTGCGCTATAAAACATATGTAAATCAGTAAATGAAATCTGGGTAAGTTCTCTAATAAACGATCAGGGACGGCCAAACGAGGTCTAAACTCTGAGAACACGTATTTCACCGGACATCAGGCCTTGGTGCGGTGCGATATCCCCGGCCATACAGATCCTAAGCTTATAAGGAGTATCTGGTCAGGTCCAGCGAATACTAGTGGGCCTAAAGCTGCTCTTCCGATATATCTGATCAAGGTTTCAACGAACCCGAAGTGCATGGAATTAACTCGAAAGCTAGCATCACCCCGTTGATACGGATAGATATCTTTTGAAAAGTTTATTTCTATGAATGTGACGGGTTGCACGTCAGTCGCGGGCCACTGCGCACGAATAGGAATACCTACATACATGTACGTATCTCTTTGGTAACAACCCCCACCCTTACCCCACCCCTTCTTCCCTTCCCTTCCCTTCTCTCCATCCTATCAGCGATTTGTTTTTTCTTAGAATATCACGCGAAAACGAGGAGATCTCTGGCACCCAACCGGTTTTGCACGAGTAGACATCAATACTGCGACACTGTACCGGGTTCCAACCCGTAACCGGGTCGTTTTAGCTCAGATGGGTGACACACATAAGAGGGATTAAAATCATAATAAAAATCTAAACAGGGCTAGAACTTACATAAATGGCCAACTTATTGCAGTGAATAGTGCAACTTCCCCTGAGTCAACAGCCATCAAGGTCTAGATTGTTTCTCCTGTAGGGCGATAAAATAAAAAAAAATAAAAGAAATAAAAAGGAACATGAGATATATTGGAGCAAGCAGTGAGCAGACGTCCCGTCTCCCGTCTGTCAATCGTTATGAAGCACAGATGATCTTCGCTTGTCTATGCGGGCTGCTGCTTCCGCCGTTTGAGCTTACTCGTTCTAGGTTCCCGTAGTTTAGGACATCTGCATTTCGGGCCTATGTAGGTAAATGTATCTACCCCGCTTCTCGAACGAGGCGAACATAATCGGATGGATCAGAGAGCTTGGAGTGGAGCAGTACGTACTCACGTAGTAAAGGCTCTAGTACCTATATTATTCTGGAGGTTACTAATTGACCTTAGTTTTTACTGATTTCAAGCTGAGGTTGTTCATAAAGGTGATGCATCACAAGTGGCGGCATGCATATGTTCGAGGGAACTGCCGATATGAAGTGGGCCAGCCCTGTTTAATACTCAGGCACCACTTATCTGCTGTGCAGGGCTCCTCCTTCGCAAATCGACCATGCGTGCAGGATGCAGGCAGACAAAAGCCTGATGAGAATCTGCTTAAGCGTTAGTCTAGAGGAGAAGTAAGTATCCATCTCGACACGGGAGGAGGGGTAGAGAGATACTGGCTTTACCATACCACCGCATATGTACCCATCTCATCTCATCTTTTGCGAAGCAAGTAAAAAAAAAAGAAAATGTCAAGACCAATGAGAATAGGTATTGTTACTCTGGCATGGACCTTCTAAAAGAGACGAGCCGACCAAAGTGAGTCCCAGCGAAGGAAGCTGCTGCATAACGGCTTTTTTCCCATGGCTTCTCAATTAGACCAACCATCAGGTTTCATGAAGAAACTCGAGGGAAAAGGCCTCAGATGCCGGCGCCGACCGTTATCTTTTTTTGCTCATGCACACTAACTATTCATAGGCCAAGGCGATGGTTGAACGAGGTTACATGATTCACATCGGTTGGCAGCGGTTCCCCAGAGAATTGAGAGGATGCATTTCGTAACCATCTGGCGAACAGAGGGACTTGCTGAACCAATCACTGAACTGGTTTCCCTTCACCACAACTCACTCGACCTTAGAAAAATATGTAGCTACATGATACTTGTAATCATATCACATGTACCGGGATTAAAGCGGTATCTTATCGGATCGGATCTCGTGATACCACCTTCTCTAAATGTGCGCGAATGAACAGTGGCCCGCAGAAAATCCCAGATTAATCTCAGGAAAGCAAAGGAAAGATATTTAAGAGAGTACCAATGGGACCAAGGATATCTGAGTACATTTTGTGGGAGCTTGTGTCTGTCTCGGAGGGTCTGGACCGAAAGTCATTCCCATATATCTAGAGATAAACAATTCTTTCCCCTCCAACGTCAACAACGCGTCTCCCAAAGGATACCTCACTGTCTATACCAATTGCTGAAACGCTCAATATTCAGAGGAGAAGTAAGAAGTTCAAGTCACAGATATGTCTCGCCGCCGTCGAGAGCAGTTCGAAGGGGCCCCACAGTCTCAGCCTCCAGACCCTTCTCAACAGCAACAGCAGCAGCAACGTCAGCAGGTACTCCTCCACCAGCAGCACCAGCAGCACCAGCAGCACCAGCAGCACCAGCAACATATAGCACAGCAGCAGCAGCAACATGTTACTCAACAGCTACACCATATCCAACTCCAACAGCAGCAGGAGCAGCCGTATTATATTCCTCTAAGTGCCCCTCCTGTACATCCTCCTCCGCCGCCGCCCGGACCCCCACTTCTAGCCCAAGGCCCCCCACCTATTGTACCATTGACAGCGCAATCACCTGAGCCACTTCGTTTACTCTCAGTCTTGGACTCACTGAAGCCCTTGGGCTTCACCTCCATATCCGACTTTCTCGTACATCTGTTCACAAGCGAAGACCCCGCAGTCCGCCGGCGCGTAAGCCTATTCTACACCCATGGCGGTATCAAGTCACTCCTCGAAATCTTCATGGCATCCAAGCGCGCACGCGAGAATGGCGGAGATGAAATCGCTGTAGCGTGGGCTGGGGGTGTGTTCAAGGACGAATTCGATCTCGGACTCGTTAAGGGTGGTGTTCGTTCCCCATCCTATTCCACCCTTTCCCTCCTCTGCACCCTTCCACTGTGTTTTATTCGCTGTTACCATTTGCTACCACTACCTACCTACATATACTGCGAATCGTCATTTCTGAGAAAGTTCCGTGCATATAGATCAATGTTGATGTCCGCGCCAACTCCACCGAATCCCGCGGGCGCACGACCGGGGAAATCCTCAAAGAGGGCCTCGAGAACTTCGACTTGGTTAAGGTGCAACGACAATGCGAGCGCAAGGCGCCATTACTATGGCGCCTTTTGGAAACCCTGTCTTCATCCGACCGTGAGCGAGTCGAGGTGAAAGTTGCACCACCATCGAGCGACGAGCAGCCACAGCCGCCAGCTTCAAAACGGCGGAAGATGGATCCTGGGCCCGGGGCCGTGGGTGTATCAACCGCGAATCCGCCTTTGACGGTAACGATAATGCTTCTATTACTCGCAAGTTCACAGGTCAGAAACAAGTTTCAGAAATGGCTTGGGCTCTACCTGTATGCTCAGGGCGTTCGAAAAGGGCCATTGAATTCGCTGCGAACATTGGGCGTAGGCAGCGAGGGGAAAGTCATCGGTGATAACGGTTTGTGTCCTGCGAAGCGAGGGTTAGGGTTGCGGATATTCCGATACTAATCCATGACACCGCATAGTGCTTCGTGTGATCGGAGACGATACAAAAAAGAAATTACGTGCAGAGCTGGGTGGATCAGATCAAACACAGGTCAGGGGACCCGGCGCTCCAAGGATCAACTCAAGATCTACAAAACGCAAATCCCTTCTCACTGCAGAAGCCATTGTCTTGGAGCCAGCCCAATCTAATCCGGATCCTTTGCATGGGAAGAGACCTTTTATAATATCTCAGGCTACCTACCATCCCTCCCCTAAGGATCATCTCCGGGCTGATAATTTTGCGCCGTGTGCGACGATTCCATTCATTATAAGACTTCCCGTGGAGACTCCTGTCCTGACCAAAGGGATGATAAAAACCTCCTCCTTATATCGCAAAGAGAAACACTTTCCAACAGTCCTCACACCTGCTATGCCGGTTGCGAAAGATCCGCCTTCGTTCGGCAGTAATAGCGCAGGTTCTAATTCCGGGGTAGCGGCGTTCTATAGCTACCCATTTTCAAATTCTGCATACAGTACAACCCCTGGGTATGATGCACCGACACCGGCTCCAAACGGCGACTTTTACTATGCACCAGCTACCCCTAGCGCTTCTTCGGGACCTACCTGGCCGGGCAACGCTAACCCTGGTGCTACGGGGTCTGCGAATAATGGAACAAGACTTTTGCTTACAGACGAGGAGGGAAAGATATATTGGAAGCATCAGGCAAGACGCAGTGTTTGGCGTGCAATGAAGCGGATGTGGCCGAAAGTTGGAGAAATCATAACGGAAGATGAAGTGTGTGAACCAGTCACTAACCCTGCTGCTCCTCCAGAAATCGAGCTAGATATCAAAAACGTAGTTTCGCAGGTATCGGAGGAGGACCTATTTCCAATGCCGAGCATGAAACGCGTGAATCCCAAAAAGCCCGAAGAGCAAATGGCTGTTCTGGAATTGGTCTCAGAATACCTTGGTTTCGAGACGAGACATCTCAAAGGTCCCGGTGCCGGTGACCGCCTCTGGATCTGGGCTGGAAATCTTGAAACGATACAAGGATTAAAATCCGCACGTCATGCAGCACCCCCAGACTCGGTATTACACAATATACACCCGGTGCTCCAACTTTTTGATATAAGACAATCATTCCTCCTTGAGCTGTTGAAGCAGCACTATGGAAAACCGAATGATAAAGATTTGACAAGTCTCTGTCATCACATGCAAATCATGAATCGAAAATTTCTCATTTTTGGGTTTTCAGTTACGGGGCAATATGCGGAGGGGCTTCTGCTTCACTCGCTCGAGTCACATCTGATCGATTCGATTTTGAGCGTGACAAAGATACGTGAATCGGGACCAAAGACAAAACAGGAAGTTCTCGACATAATCACGAAGGTCTACGAGACCTACCTCGACCCCGAGACCGTAAAGGCCTACCAAGCCGTCACAGAAGCAAATAATCGAGACGAAGTCTTCGAAAACCACATGTTACTGATGCAACACTCAATCGTCTACTTCTCTCTCCTGGAATGCATCGCTGCGGCATCAACAGACAACCTCTTGCACATCCTTGCCTGGATCGCTACCGCATTCCAGGGTCTCACTTCCGCTCGATCCACAAAAATGGCGCGAGAGCTATTAGATCTGGTCTCTGGACTGCAGGGCGAATGGTCCAGTGAGATCCGAGCGGCTGTTCTTGGGTCCATGATAATCCCTAAACCTACCGGGGCACCGTATCCTGTGCTTTCGTCACATCCTGCAGCTGCAAAGGTACCCGGCGAGTTCCATGAGGTCGATTTTGCGATGAAGCAGCTGCTGAGGCAGACAAAGACCGTCTTTGACCTGCGCGATAATCCGAAATATGACTTCTTCCGTGAGGTCGCGACGCCTAATATCAGGACTATCTCGAAAGTTGTCCGCAACGCGGAGGAGGCTCTAGGGACGGCGCCAAGGACGGCAAATCAGTGGAAGAGCCCTGCCGAGAATGTGGATCCTGACAAGGAGATTCCCAAGCTAGTGAAGGAACTTCGAGAAGGACGGGTGGGAGAATGGGTTGCAGGGAGGAAAGCAAGCTTCAAGGTGGAACATCTTTTGGCGAATGGAGAGGAAAGGATCAGGGGCGCGGGATTCTTGGAGGAATTCTGCAGGAGGGGCGATAGGGCTGTTGTGGATGGCGAAGATGCGGCGGATGAGACGGAGCAGCTTGAGGGCGAAAAGGAGTGGAGGAGGAGAAATTTGTTCTTTGCCCCCGATTTCGGGTTTGATTGGGGTTTGTAAGGGGCGTCTGAGTATTCTTTATGTTCTATATCTGGTAATAAATAAATGAGGAGGCGTTGGTACAATGTCTTGGTATTTGCAACGAATCTTGATGAATGACCCGTTTGCAGCATATTTCTGTTGACTTTTCTCGATCGTTATTAAGAAATGTTGTTAATTACTTTTACTCAGCATATAAATCTTGCCAGACCCAACCTGTTCCAGTATACCGCCCCATCGCTCTTTCGTCGAGGGTGCCTCCCTTCCGTCTCAAGGCTCAATCACAAAGTCTCACTCACGATTAATAATATGTTCTGTTCCTGCCACTTAACCACGATTCAAGATCAATCATTGACACCCGCTTACTAATCAAACCCACCCCCCCGGGGGGGCCACCTCCCAGGGACATTTACTTTTTTGCACTCCCATTCTGACGTTTTTCGTTTTCTATCATTTTTCGTTAAACACTTGCTTCAACACCCCTGGAACAGAGTTTGGGGCCAAACTTGTGTACCCGTATTTCGCGTGGGTAAAATCGGGGTTAATTATGTAGTTATCCCTTCCACTGTTATTAAGGTTTTCGCCCCTTTGAAGCAGTAGGCAGGGCATGCAGGGTGGGTAATGGTAGTACTATTGGGATTAAAGATTTTAATATATCGCTAACTACTCTGGGTATTGGTATCACTGCTCTAACTACATGTAGGTCTCCCTTTTAAGCTTTATGGCCTGTATCGACCGACCTCTTCCTGCAAACCGGAATTCGAACTCGGGGCCTAAAAACTCGGATGGCTTTCTAATGCGTGTGGCGATCCATAGAATGGTTGATGTTATCTAGATCTGGGGTAGAGCGACTGAGACTACATGTACCCATGGAGGGCTAGCAAGTCTCTGTACCGTGCATGCGTAGTGTGTTTTCTGGCGTCGCGGTGGGAGGGCAGAGCTAAGAGTCGCAGGGTCCGGAGGCCTTGCATTTTTTACTAGTTGTCTGAAGGGGAGATTCACTACATGTACATACATGTAGTACTCTACTTCAGACTAAGCTACGTTATCCGTGGGCGTCACGACCTATCACTCGCCGCCCAAAACCCGCACCCGGTAACCTCCACACCTCTTTTTTTTTTCTTTTTTTTTCCATCTTCACAGGGCACATATTAACCCAACCCCAACAATCAGCCATCAAGTCCAACCCAGAACCTTAACTAACAAGGTAGAATATTCCCTCAAACCCCCCCCCCCAAACACCTTACCTCCGACTCATGAAGAAAGCCAAGTGTGGCGCAGCACCTAGGGCTGCCGCCACACATGACGTACGTACGTACGCTGGCCGCCACCCCGCAATGGAAGCTTGAGATATAAACTCCAAACAACTCCCACGGTGGTTCTCAGGCCTCTTTTACCTGTGGACTTGCCCCGTTACACGTTTCAAACAAACAAACGAGCAAACAAACTAAAGCAAACAAACCCTTACTTTCCTACCTACAGTACTAGCTGTACTCACCTACATACCTACATACCTACCTACCTACATACCTACCTACCTACACTACCTACCTCCACTACAGGCTACCCACAAACACACATCCCCAAAATGCCCATCCCCCTCTTCACCACCGGCGAGAAGCCCAACACGGCCGAGACGCAAACCTCACCCACCAACAACCCAGCCGTAACCTCCACGCCCCTCACAAGCGGCAGCGACCTCCCCGAGCGCCGCAGATCAAGCGTGTCCGAAGCGCACCACCACCACCACCAGGAAGCGCTGCGCGCCTCGGGCTCGGGCACGGCGACGAGCGCGGCGAGCTCCGGCAGGGAGCGGACGAAGGAGGAGAGGGAGGAGGCCGATAGGCTGTATGAGGAGCGGATGGAGGAGGAGTATGCGAAGCGGGAGGGGGGTGCTTAGTGAGGGGGCTCGGTTTGTGGGAGGGGGAGCTCAGTTTCGGTTTGTGAGCTTGGTGTTGACGGTTCTGGGCAGGGATTGGTTAGTTAGTTGGCTGCGGGTGCTGGTGCTGGTTTGTTGTTTTGTTAGGTTCCACTCAATTACAAGTAGTCAATTGCGAGTCCATCTGCTTCATCTACCATCCATCTCTCGTCATCTCTCGTCGTTATTGTGATATGCCATATGCCATATGCCAACTCGTGATTGAGCTCCAAGCTCCTTGCTTACCTGCGCTGGGGCACGTTTGTCGCGTGCAGGCCCCCCGTTGCGGTTGTCTGCATGGATGTCTAATACCTGGCCTGTGATTGGCCGGCGGAGAGCCTCCCTTGGCACCACTGACGTAGTCGGGGCTGCAGCTGTCTAAGAAAGAAAGAAAGAACAGGAACGGTCCTTCTTTCTTTCTCGCAGTGGGCAAGGAAGGGTACAACATGTAGTAGTAGTAGTAGTACTTGTGCTTACCAGGCGCAATCCTAGGGGCTCTGTTAATACTCAATTGCTGCCCTCTCTGTCTGCCGCCTTCTTTAAAACCCGCCAGCGCCTTTCTCTGATCCGAATTGATATCCAGAGTCACGATACTCAGCTTGCATTGTTGTCCTGTATAATCAATCACCTGTGAACACCCGCTGCACCTGTAAACCCCAATTGATTGCCACCTGAATACTCTATCGGACCCTTGATAATCCCACAATAAAAAGACAAGCCACCCAGAAGGAAGGAAGGAAAGAAAGAAAGAAAAACAACATACCAATTGCAGCAGCAGCCATGGTCCTCGTCTACCTCAAGAACCTCCTCTTCCGCTCCCAAAAGCCCTCCCGCCACGCGCACGAAACACCGCCCCTCCTCCCCACCACCGACCACCCCAAACACTACGGCAGCAGCACCTGCGACACCACCACCACCACCACCCCCTCCTCCTGCCGCCACCCCTCCTGCCCGCGCCGCACCTCCCAGAAATCCCTCTCACCCTCACCCCCAAACACCAGCACCAGCACCAGCACCAGCACCAGCACCAGCACCTCCTCCTCCTCCACCCCGTCCAAAAAACCCTACATCGACCCCCGCGTCCTCTCCGACCTGACCATCGGCCTCTCCGACGGCCTCACCGTCCCCTTCGCGCTCACCGCCGGCCTCTCGGCCTTCAACGACACGACCGTGGTCCTCTACGGCGGCCTCGCCGAGCTCATCGCCGGCAGCATCTCCATGGGCCTCGGCGGCTGGCTCGCCGGCCGCGGCGAAGCCGCCTTCCACACCAACACGCTCGCCGCCACGCGCAGCCTCGTGCGCACCAGCCCGGAGGCCGTGCGCCCGCTGCTGGCGGGCGTGTTTCGGCCGTACGGCGTTGCCGAGGAGGCGCTGGAGCGCGTGGTGGAGGGCTTGCTGGCGGGCGAGGAGGAGGCGCTGGTGGCCTTTGTGATGCAGTTTCATTACAATTTGCCGGCCGTGGAGGAGGTGGGGAGGAGGACGCCGGTGTCGAGCGCGGCGACGATCGCGGCGGGGTATTTTTTTGGCGGGTTTGTGCCGTTGGTGCCGTATGTGTTTGTGGGGAGGGGGGATGTGTTGGTGGGGCTGCGGTGGAGCGTGATTGTGATGGTGGTGTGTTTGTTTGTGTTTGGGGGCGGGAAGACGGTGCTGGTGGATGCGGCGGAGGAGGGCAAGAAGAAGAAGAAGAACTGGGGGAGCATCGTGAGGGGGGGGATTGAGATGGTGCTTGTGGGCGGGGTGGCGGCGGCGGCGGCGATGGGCATTGTGAGGGCGCTGGGCGGGCTGTCCTGATGAGTTAGAGACGTTGATATAATTCCTGGGAGGACCTCTCGAACTTTCTGCGGGGATCGAAAACACAAAAAAAGAAAAAAGCTTCTTGGGCGTTGGTGCGGAATATATCTTTTTTCTCTTTGCTTGTAGTGTTTTTACTCTTAGCCTGTAACATATATACATCTTATATATATATATTAGCGGTAGGTTCATGGTGTGTCACTCGGTCCCGTAAAATTCTTTTTTTTTTTTTTTCTTTTAGTGTCTGACGATTACACATTGGCCCGGCCCGGTATTGTTAGAGTTGCTTGTTTTGCTTTATTCGGGTCTGGAAACGATCTTGTACGAGCTTATAAATTCAAGTCACACGATCCTTTCTCTTGGAGCGAAACTGATGGGCTCGAGGACGCCAAGCTAATACAAGAAACCCAAATGATGTATGATGTTGGGAGGAGTGAGTGCTTCATCGGAAGTCGTGCTCTGGAGTGCTATGTACATGTGCTAGGGTGCATGCTAAATAGCAGAGCATGTATGCAGTCGCAGTATACTAGAGAAACACGCGTCTACACCACCACCACCGGACTCGTTGGCCCCATGAGGTGCGTACTTCCCAGCCTCGTCCGTGCCACGATCCTCATACGCAATCACTCGAACCCCACCCCACCTGCTAGTTCCGTAGCTATTTGTCAGCAAGGACCCAAGGACCCACTTTCATGCTTCCCCCCCCCCCTCCCCCCCACAGGCCACTACCGTTCAGTGACTACCGGTTACTCGGCTAAGCCCATGCAGCTTTAGAGTTATGCAAGCATCTTTACTTGGACAGGGTAGTACAGGTAGCTTAGGAGTCGACGATTTTTTTTTTTTTTTTTTTTTTCCTGCTTGTTATGACTCCCTTTAAATATTTGCAGCTCCTCGGTGTCGTTTCCATGGGTTGTCTCGAGTGCAAAACCCGTGAGATACCTTTGACGTCAATTGAGTTCCCAATCGCAACTCCACTCAACAAAAAAAAGAGGAATATTCTTAAAAAGGAATTAACAGTTGCAATATGGAGGAGAAACCGGCTCCAGCTCCACTCAGCGATGATAATTGTGCCGGACAGGCAGAAGTCAACGATAATAAAGAATTGCAAAAGACCGTTACTGAAGTCAGCTTCGTCGATGTTCCCCCTGACGGAGGATATGGCTGGGTCGTCGTCGGTTGTTGCTTTATGGTCAACGCCATGACTTGGGGTGTAAACAGCGTTCGCCCCCCCCCCCCCCCCCTCCCTCCTCCCTCCTCTGCAAATCCCATCAGTAGCTGATTAGTGTGCAGTCATACGGAGTGTACCTTGCCCATTACCTTTCATCCAACAAATACCCCAATGCTACCCCACTCCAATATGCCTTCATTGGCGGGCTCTCAGTGTCCCAGTCAATGTTTATCGCGCCCGTCGTCACCCTGCTCCTCCGCCGGACTTCAACTCGGACAGGCATGGCAGTTGGGATAGTCCTCCAAACTGGCTCGCTGATCCTCGCATCTTTCTCCACGGCAATCTGGCACCTCTTCCTCACGCAGGGCGTGCTTTTTGGCTGGGGCCTCGGGTTTCTGTTCACCTCGTCGGTGGGGACAATATCGCAGTGGTTTAGCAAAAAGCGGAGCTTGGCGAATGGAATCACGTCTGCGGGGAGCGGCATTGGCGGGCTGATTTTCTCGCTGAGCATCCAGAAGATCATCCAGACGATGGGGGTCGAGTGGGCGTTTAGGATCGTGGCTATCTGTGTGTTTGTCACAAACACGGTCTGTACGCTGCTGATAAAGGATCGGAATAAGATTATTAATCCGAATCAAAAGGCGTTTGACTGGAGACTGTTGAAAAGGTTTGAGTTCCAGCTGGTCATGGGGTGGGGGTTCTTGTCGATGCTCGGATATATAGTGATTCTGTTCTCGCTGCCGGACTATGCGGCGAGCGTGGGGATGTCGAAGCAGCAGGGGAGCATATTAACCGCCATGCTCAACCTGGGGATGGCTTTTGGCAGACCCCTGGTAGGTATCGGGAGCGATCGGTACGGTAGGATCAACACAAGTGGGCTGATGACGCTGGTGAGTGGGCTGAGCTGCTTCTTCATCTGGATCTGGGCGAGGAGCTTTGGGGTTGCCATACTGTTCAGTTTGGTCAATGGAGCTGTTTGTGGAACATTTTGGACGGTGAGTAACTTGCACAAGTATTCCACCCACCTACTGTGTAAGATATTGAGACTTTGTGCTGTAGACGATATCGCCCGTTACCGTTGAGGTAGTGGGTATCAAGGAGCTTCCGAGTGCATTATCCCTAGTATGGCTCTCCGTAGTTCTACCCACAACATGTAAGTCTTCGTTTTCTGTCTCCGATTAGAACACACACTAACGTCAGTATCCTTCTGTAGTTTCGGAGCCAATCGCCCTCTACCTCCGCCGTCCAGGGGAATATAATGCATACCTATATCCGCAGATTTTCTCTGGAGTTTTGTACATTGGTGCAGCAGGATGCATGTATGCATTGCGGGTATGGGCCCTTACGAAACAGGACCAGAAGTTGGAGGGGGAGGAAGATGGTGAGAGGAAAGGCAGTAGATGGTGGAGACTTGCGAAGGTTTAGGATTTGGCACAGAGAAGAAACAGAGGGGATGGATTATGAATGATAGATTGTTTTTTTTAGATAATAATGAGCTTAATTGATATAATGTTATGATTTGCCGAACTATCGATTAGATGAAGTCTGATGAAGCCCTTGATCGAGTACAGTACCGGAAGATGACGCTGGATGGCAGGTACAGGTGTACATGTACGCAAGAAAGTAGGGCCGAGAAAGCTCTCTTTTCGTGGTGATAGTCTAAGGGCACCCGTAAAAAAAAAAAGAAAAAAACGCACTAAGCATACGTTTCAATTGAATGTTCCTAAGTTTTGCAAAAGGTTGCATTGATGGCAGCCGCCATATCTACAACCCCCACCCCTGGATTGAACCATGGACCTTCGACAGGTACAACTTGGCACAACCACTCGGTGTATCCGGGAGGCGAGTGTTAACCGGTTGGCCACTCGCCCATGTGTGTTGTGGGCGGGAAATGGTATTTGAACGAAATGGCTGATTGCAGGTAACTAATACTATTCCTATTAGGTGAGCTGTGATGCCGGCCATTGGGTTTGGACTTTTTCTCTACGGCCTACACAATCCTAATATCGATGAGCACGAGAAAAGACGAGACCATTTTGCACCAAGTCTAGTCTTGCCTTGTCTCGTCCCATCATGGTCTCGGAAGTCTCGAGACCTGAAGTAAGTCCCGAGACGAATCTCGAAACTAATATAAGCTAAACTGAACTCACCACTTTGAAGAAGATTTTCAATCCGCCAATCACAACCACAGACGCAGAGAACCTTCCCCGGAAAGATCTGCCCCCTGGCGACAGAAAAGATCCCCATCGGGGACCTGGTCTTCACTCGATAAAGTTTAGGCAGGCACCACTGTTGCGGGTACCGGCTTGTTCCTGGATAAGCGAACGGTTATCAGCTTGGTTGTGGTTAGAGTTGAATACTCACACGTGGCGGTTGAGGCGGCAGTGCAGAGAGTTAGGGCTCTCTGAGGATAGCGGCGGGGGAGGCTTCGGGGTGTTAATTGTTTTCCGGGGACGTGGTTTTTGAGGTTGAGGTACTTGCGGTGAAATTAAGTATTGTCCCAATTGCGCTGGCAACCATTCAACCCCACCAAACTTGAGACCCTATAAAACCACAACCAATAGCTAAAGCCAAGTGTGTTAAAGTCATAGTCATTTTTATGCTCAAAAGTAATTATCTCCTGCGTTAATTATCATGGTTATGGTGGTGGTTGGTAGGCCTAAGGAAATGGTGAGGTCAATGGTTGCTATCGCGAGAGACAATACTTAATTTCACCGCAAGTAGGGGATCGTGAGGTCTTGCTGGAGCTTGAACGCGAGATTGTAAAGATCCTTCAATCCTCTGTATGAGCACTTATTAACCTTGAGGTCTTGAGGATAGGCAGAATTACGGGTTTGAAACATGTAGCCCCCGAATAGTTTCTCCACATAGGACGGGTGGCGTTACTTATCGATAAGATAAGAATCTGATAAAAACTCCAATGACCTCACACCTAACCCATAGACCTTCGAAAAAAATCTCAATGACCCACCCGCCCTGAAGATCAGAATAAAAGCTCCAGGAAAAACTCAAAAAACTTCTTTCAATACTCCACCACCCATCTTTCCTTCATTTCTCACTCTTTGGTGCACTGGAAACTATGTCTATCAACATGATTGTAGGTTACCTCGAGCTGGCAGTTGAGTACATGTATTCAGAAGTACTGACAATGGGGATTTGTAGGCTGGCCCGATAGCGGGTATTGTTACTTGCTTAATGTTCTACCCATTTGACACGATCAAGACGCGCATTCAGTCTCCCGAATATCGTCGAGCGGCCCAGGCGGGAGTCCAGCGGATACGGCTTCAGGGATTATACCAGGTACGGCCCGTGCCTCTAGATTAGCTCCTTGGGACATGGAGTACAGTAACTAACAAGAATATTGATCTAGGGAGTCGGGCCAATTGTTCTAGTAACATTACCAGCATGTAGAGCCTCTAAACCCCTTTCAATTACACCAATTATGAAGCGACAACTAACAAATCATAGCGGCCGCCTTCTTCACATCCTACCAAAAGGGCAAAGAGTTGCTCCGGAAAGCATTACCCTCGCTCCCGAGCCCCATAATAAATTGCGCCGGCTCCTCGATCGCAGAAATGATTGCCTCGGCCGTCGCCACGCCCGCCGAGGTCATAAAACAAAATGCACAAGTCCTATCCGGCGGAGGCACCAGTACCAGTCTCCAGGCGCTACGATTAATCGGAAGGAATCCCCGAGATCTCTGGCGAGGGTATACCCTCCTTGCAGGCCGCAACCTCCCCTTCATTGCGATCCAATTCCCAATATACGAAGAGTTGAAGGTGCTGCTAGGCTCGGGGAGAGTGAAAGGCGACCTGTGGGAGACGGGGAAGGTCACTGGGTTGGCTGCGATGGCATCTGGCGGTGTCGCGGCGTGTCTGACGACGCCAATTGATGTCGTGAAGACGAGGGTGATGTTAACGGCTGGGAATTCAGGCAGGAGAATAGGCGCCGTGGAGACGTTTAAGGACGTGTGGAAGACGGAGGGCGTGCGAGGAGTATTTAGGGGAGGGGCGTTGAGGACTGTATGGACGTCAATAGGGAGTGGGGTGTACCTGGCCCTTTATGAGAGCTTGATTGCTTACGCGGGGAATAGAAAGGCGTTGGAAGCTGTTGATATTTAGAGGTGGAAATAATTAATGTGCGGGGAAATCTTTGTTTAGAGCTGAGTGAGGGACTGAATGTTGATAGGTGAAATATAATTGTAAATATAGTACACATAAAACTACTACATATATCTCCGTTCAAACATTTTTAAATTCACAGCTATCCTCGTCCTTATGGGTTCTTCCTAGCTTTCGGCCAATCAATCACTGAAACCAAATATAGCAAGGATTGAAACAGCAGCAGCGGTAGGTATGGTGTAAGATATACGCTAGGCATGTGGTGGCCCCGGTTTCCACTACCAACCCCGACAGTGATCGAGCTCAAAAAGCCAACGGGAATTGATATATTATGCGGATATAACGAAGCAAATCCAACAAACCTACCGAAGCACTATATAAATGACTTCCGAATTCCTTCCTCTCGATCTTGACGCCATCAGTCGAAAAATCTATCACCGAGCCCATGGCCACGGCAATCCATCTTCTGCTAAACACATAGAAACAGAACCTTCGCTCGGTCGATTCTAGCGTCCTAGGCTTTTCCGGATCCTTCGCGGGTCCTTTATCCTTCTCCATAATAACCCGAGTTTTAATCATCACCAGCGCCATCATTACCACAGTTCTCGAAGGCCACAATTTGCTAGATATCTCGAGGCTACCTATATATCGCTGCTTCTGCAACCATTGAGACCTACTAGCTAGTAGGGAGGTGGCCTAGTAGGACATATGCTGTGCAGACACGGTCAAACATCTGGTGTAAATGGCTCTGATGAATGGTGGAGACATATATAGACTTGGTTTGGCGCGGCTGGGCAACGTATTCGGTCTGAGATTTTTGGAGTGCTTATATAGCTAAGTTGAATTCCCTTTTTGGGTTTTTGGCTTTTCTTTTCTGCCGCAATTCTTTGATAGTTTCTAATTTTCTAGGCCTGAAATAAATCTTGCCGGTCAGTTCACCTGTACCCTTTTTCGGAGTTATAAAATATCACGCAGATACATGTATGCAGCATCTCCACGTGATATGCAGCACTTGTTACCATTGGAGTTATAAAAATAAGTGCCAAAGTGGGAGAGTATAAACGAGTGATAGTCCATGACCGAACCCAACATCCCCCATCCCCCTCATCTTCCCTCCCTCCCTCCCTCCCGCAAACTTCACGCGGATGTGACACAGACCACTTATTCCTCATCCAACCAAAGACCAATCTCCCCCACCATGCAGACACCCACCACAAATGTCCCCGCCCCCATCTAGATCTAGATGTGACAGTACGTACCCGGGCACGTGCACGCCGGTGGGTTAGGTGTTGGTGTTTTTGGCAACCACTTATCCCTTAAGCAGTCGGTGATGACTCCCCTATAACAGAGGAATTAGATTTGTATGAGAGATCTATTATTTGATAAGAGAGATAACGAGATCTGTTAGTAAAGCCACACCAAATTTACTTTTTTTTTTGGCGGGTCAGCATTTCCGTGCGGAGAAACATCCGCTGGTACAGTTTCCGGTAGAATTATTGCGAAAGTCAGAGCTAAAAGAGTGGATTTTGTTGGTCTGTGCTCGTAGCAAAAATCTTTTAAGGGCCAATAGGACTATCGGGTCACGGGGAACCCACTTTCGCAATAATTCTACCGGAAACTGTAGTTGTAATAGCACTTGCATGTCATATGCTCCCGTGAGCGATTGAGTGGGCGAGTGTGTGAGTGGGTGGTGTAACGATCGTATACGTCATCAAAAGGAAGCATAGGGCAGAAAGAGTGGCCCACGACTTGGCTGGTATTGTGTCTATATATTGCTGTACCCTCGGGATGTGAGGGTGAGTGCTGAGTGATTCTTCATGACCGAAGCGTAGGCGCGCCTAGGGAAATTATCACGTAGGGTTCGGAGGGAGTGAGTGAGGTCTCAGTGGTTGCCCGCCAAGCCTTCGGTAGCGCCCGGGCCGTGACGTAGGGAGGCGGGCCACACAGACCCGAGCGAGCTCTAAGCATCAACACATCTCACATCTCACTGTTAAAAAAGCTGCATCTCGAGTTCAGGCGCAAGTAAACCTGTCTTTTTCAAATCCCCATTCTTTATTGATCTAGGTATTTAGGTATTTAGCAGTAAAGACCACGAGACCGAGTAAGTAAAAAAAAAAATAAAAAAAAAAAGGAAGAAGCTAGTTACATGATAATGACATCAAACCCATACAAATAAATATATCCCCGGCCCCCATCTCCTTCTCCTCCTCTTCTCTCTTCTCCTTCTCCGTCTTCTTCTTCTCTTTCTGCCCCGCTGTCTCGAAAGTAACATAACAACAACATTCCACCAAGTAAATTTTTTGTCCGCATTCCAAGAATAAAAAAACAATTCCAAAAGATACATAAGGAATGCAAACTCCACGTACAAAAGGAAACCAATATCCCTCCTCACTCCCAACCCACCACCCCTACTGCTCCTTGCAATTGACTTCTCGCCCATCCATCCATCCCCCGTTCGTTCGTTCACAAAGTACCCGATACTCCAAGTCGTCAAGTCTCAACATCGTCATTCATTACATCCTCCAACTAACCCTAATTCTCTCAAGAGCATGCATGCCATGAGAAGCTAGACAGAATAAAAAAAAGGCAACAAAGATATCATGATTGGAACAAGGAAAACATAACAAATTCTCTCATTTCATCTTCGGCACACCCAATAGGAAAAAAAAAGAAAAAAAGACAGAAATCATCAAAAATCATACAAATCGAATTGAATCATTTCATATCCCCATACGTCGTTCCACCGCATCATTCGCTATCAATGTCCTCCACTACCGATGCTGCCCGGGGTGGTGTCCTGCATGGTGTCCTGGGTGATGTCCGGGGTGGTGCGAGCCCCCAGGGTGCCCCGAACCAGAACTGCTGCTGCTGGAGCTGCTGCTGGAGCTGGAGCTACTCGAGGAGGTAGAGCTGGTCGAGCTACCAGTCTGACTGGCCGTTTCAGAAATGTACTCGGAATCGTACGAGTCTGAAGAGGTTGTGGAGTGCTTCTCGCTCATGTGGTGGGTTTGCGTCTTCTTGGTAATGAAGATTGATGTCAGACCCGCAGCAGCTGCACCCATCATTGCCGCAAATCCACCACCACCGTGCTGACCTCCGTGTTGACCACCATGCTGACCGCTGCTAGAGTGATAACTGTGTTGAACCACTCCGGATGAACCGTGACCAACAGCGCCGTGGCTGCCAGAGTAACCGCCGTATTGAGCGCCGTGGGAAGCAGAGTGGTGGCCTTGCTGGTGGGTGGTGGTGGTTGTTGTCGTGGTCGTCTTCCTCCTGCCCCATAATGCACCGAGAAGGCCACCGGTGGCGGCACCAGCGGCTGCGCTACCATATCCGTTGCCGTTGCTGTAGCTGCTGTGGGACTCATCGACAGCGACAGTCTCGTGCCTGTGCTTGTTACCGAACAAACCAGCGAAGCCGCCACCACCCTTCTTCAAGCAGCAGCAAAGCAATAGCAGTGCAAGCAGGAAAAGCGCGCCCAAGATACCACCAACAATACCACCAATCTGCGCACCGGTCAACCCACCGCCACCGCCAGAGTTACCACCGACTACACCACCGTATCCAAGATCTCCAGTTGCTACAGGAACCATGAAAGTGTTTGTGCCGGTGACGGAGGGAACCAGGATCTTGGATCCAGAGATATCACCGCCAATGACACCGCCATTGGAAGACTCGGTGGGCCGGGTTGGGGGAGTGAATGCGCCTGAGGTGTAGATGTAGTTTGACGAGGATCCGGATCCGGACGGGTTCGCAACTGGGGTGGTGTAGGTCAAAGACCATGTTGTCGTGGGCGCAGCAGACACAGAGGCGCCGGCAAAAGACGCAGAGTATACGGTTGTCACAACACCGACGCTAGTGATCGTTGTGGTGAGGTAGTTCCATCCCACTTGGGAAGGAGTTCCACACTGTCCTGCATACCAGCAGACTTGGGCAGACGAACAGCAGAGATTAGGGTTAGATCCTCCACCACAGGCAATCTGGTTCGCGTTACAGCTTTGTGAGTCTGACTGGGGCGCTGGTATAGGGTTTGCGAAGGGTACTGGGGATGACGAGCATGTGTGCAGAAGGGTGAATAGCAGCGACAAAAGTGTCGGAGCGGTTCGTGATCTCATGATGGGCGATATACGGGGGAGGGGGAATTGAGTCGTAAAAATCAGATCAGGTCGTTAATCGTGAGAAGGAAGGGTTCGTGGAATGGGTTGCAGCGTGAAAAAGGTGCAACAAAAGGCGAGTCTGAGAAATTTGGGGAGGCTGGTTAGCGGCTGAAACGGAACGATAATAATTCTTGAGGCATAAGAAAGGAAATGGTGCAACAAACCGAGCAGTTACGATGACCAACCAACAATGGATTGATGGGGGTTGGAATCGTATGCAGGTACGACGACGAGGAGGAGGAAGAGGAGGAGGAGGGAGGAGGGAGGAGGAGGGGAAGGAAGGAGGAGAAAGGGACGAAGGAAGGGGAGAGAGGGACGAAGGGAAGGAGGTCGGGAAGTAGAGGGAGGATGGGGAAAGGCAGAGAAGAAGAAAAGATGTGGGAAGAATAGAACCTCAAGCAGGGAAGTCACTTGTTCCGAGCTTACTTTTACCAACCTCCCCCGTTATTGTTCGTTTTTTTTTCTCCACTTCTTTTTTTTCTCTCACCCTCCCTTCTGGCTATTGTTGCGACAATTAATCGGTTTCGAGTGGGAAAATCGAGAGGCCGGGAACTTTCCCTATCCCTCGCTCTTACATATGCGCCGCCCTACTCTACTTGGGGGTTGTGGTTATGGCAGTGGTGGTAGTACTAAGCGGTACTACTCTACTACGAGTATCTAGGACGGTACATACATGTACCCACCCCATATCACACACCATAACATAACATAACATAACAATAACATATGGGGGGGGAATATGTATGGGGGGTGGGAGGATGGTTCACTGGTCTGGTGGATCTACCCAGCCTGACCAACGCTATCGTTCCTCGTTCCAACCAGCCAGCACACACATCGCTCCCGCGTTGCACTTTCACCAAACAGGAAAGAGCATCACACCAGCGTTGGCGAGACAACCACACTCCCACCCTCCAAAAGTAGCGTAGGCAGGCCTTATGGTGCCCTGGGATCAATAGCCATAGCAGGGGTTCTACATCCTCTACACCCCAGAGACCCCCAGGGGGTCCTGGTTCCTGTTTGAAGTCGTTTCTACCCAACCTCTGTTTTTTTTTCTCTACCATACAGTTACTTTCCACTCTTATCCCTTCCACTCCCCTCCCCCCCGCCAACCACAGGTCCAACCCCCCTCCCGGAAGGAGAGATGTGTCCGCCCGGAGCTGAACAGGTTTGCTGTATCGAAACACTCTCAGCCTAGGATTGGGGGCCCTCGTGCCGTGTGTGGTACGCAGCGGGATTCATGTCCGTTTCTTACATAGAGTACTTTTACCTCCTCCTCCCATTCCGTGACGTGGGAATTGCGTCTCTACTTTATCTAATCTACGCACCTTTTTTTTTTAAAGTGCCTTACCTGCACCTTGTAGATGGATAAATCTATGTACTAAGGAAACGAACGTTTGGACCAATTGCGTTCTTATCTGACGGAGTGGTCCAAACACGTGTTGAGGCTCTCCATCTAATAAAAGCGAGGTTATTAACCCTTTCGCTAAACAATTTGGCGAAACTACTAGCGCCCATCACAAAAAACAACCCCAACCCACATCATCATCCCCAACCTCCCGAATTTCCCAAAATGACTGACAGTGACAACTGATTCGACGTCAACGAGAAATTTGTTTCGCCACGAGCGACAAAAAATGGGTTCATCCACCCCACCCAACCCCCCCAATTTTTGAATGGGGCAAGGGCAGGAGGGAGGCAAAAAATCTATTCCGGTACTCCAAGCCGATAACGACGGGTTGTACATACTCTAGGACCGTAATGGCCACGGCCTTGGAAACTCGAAGCCATCTTCCCAAGGGCCTGGGTGACGTGACGTCTGCTGTCATGTCATGGCCCTACCTACCTACTCTGCTCTAGAGGGGTCATGTAGGTATGCGGAGGGAGGAAGGGGGCGGGCAAACCGTTATGCACTTTCATCGTGGGGAAAATAATAAATAGATCTCCTTTGTACGCGTCTTTTTCATTTTTGTTGTTCAAAAGAAACATTTTCCTTGACGTGGGTGTGTGATGGTGATCTTGCAATGGGGATCTCGGGGATCTTTGGTGCTATTTATGGAATCAACTACTACTTTACCCTACGTCTCGAGTTCTAGAGCTTGATATTGATCTTGTTTCCTTGCTTGCCTGATTGCGCGGAACACTCTAGAGTCTAGGGTAATGGGCATATTGCGATGCATCAGTTCTTTTCATTCTGTATGCGGGGTATCTCGGCGCGTTAATGGCAGCGAGTGAGAGAATTACATATCTCTCATTCTCATGATGTCGATGGGCAAGAATTAGCAAGCAGCAAGCAGCAAGGCCGGGGCAGGGCGGCTGAAGATGTTTTCGGACGGGACGACATCGGGCGAACTGCACCATACATTCTTGACGGCCTCGTCTCGTCCATCCACCTATTAGCTACTTGGACTGTCGTTATCGGCATTAAGATTGGGGCAGAGGAGGGCATCATATCACCCTCACTTTACTCTACTCTACCACTCTGAACGGCAGGAATGTTTCGGGAGTGCGGTGGGCCGACCAATGGCGTTGCCGGCCGAATCAGGGTCACAGTCAAATCAGATCAAGCTTTGGGTTTGGCGGGCACATACATGTATGTAGCTAGAGAAGAGGGCGTTCTTTTTCTCAGCCCGTTGAAATGGGAAGGGAAGGGAAGGGAGCGAGTGATGGATGCAATGTCCTTCGGGACGACGATCACCAACGGCGGCGGCAGAGGCACTCTGGCATGTTGATTGCCTATGTGTTAAGAGCAGAGAGCTTTTTATGTTAGACTTGATGATGTTGTTGACTGACATGGCACTTAAGCATAACTAACGCATCAAGTTGCCCATTCTCTTGGCTCCTAGAGTGGAGCAGAGTGGAGTAGGTACCTAGGTACATGTTGTAGAGCAGCAGGTCCTAGAGGAGAGGCTGCTTCCTTTGGGTGTTCTAGAGAGAGGCAGAACAACACGGTATACATATGCAGAGGCGCAACCGGGGGCCAACAGGGAGCCGTACCGACATGCAAGGGGGTTGCCAAGAATCTGGGAAGACACATAAGATGTGTGAAGTCTGCCTGCTCTACATACATAACCTACTCTAAAGTACTCCGCTGTCTGTATTCTGGAGCATGTACGTATGTGGACCCCGGGGGGGGATCTAAAAACAGCGGGTTCATTTCAGGTACCCGAGACCGATGATGAGCTGGTTGGTGCTGATGATAGTCGGCGGTGTCAGTGGTGCCGATCACGGCGTATCACTCGGGTTCACGAAACAGCGGTTTCGGCAGTTGTAGGCGATGACGTGTGGTTGGGTGGAGGGAGGGTATGCGGTCTCAGTCTGCCGGCTGCATGGGTTGCAATTGTGTGGGGGTTAGAGCAGAATAATACCAACCTACAGCTACAGCTACAGCTACAGCTACAGCTACAGCTACAGCTACAGCTACAGCTACAGCTACAGCTACAGCTACTCTAGACAGACCTGGCTGTTTGCGCACTGGGGGAAGTTTAAAGAAGACTGGACTCGTCACTAGCTGGCTAGCTGCTCTGAGGTGTGTGGTAGTGGTATGGCTGCCACGTTTGACGGGCTCGCTTGGCGGGAGGGAAAAGAAAGGTTTGTGTGGTGAATGGGTGGGTGGGTGGGTGGGTGGGTGGGCAGATTTGTGGATGATTGGTGCGTGGGTCCGGGTTTGTGGGCGGGTGGTGGTGGTGGGATGGAGGTCGATAGCTTATCGGTGCTGTCAGAGAGCTGGAGTATTCCGCTCTATCGATAATATCTGGCCTTAACACTGGAACACCTTTCCTTTTGTTTGTCTAGCTAGCTTTAGAGCTATCATCGTCAACTGGTCTTCATTGCACAGCTGTGCCATCTATCATGATTCGCTTGCCCAATCAGGTCGTCGATATCTTGTCTGGAGCTCTTTATCACCACATGTAGTCTCTTGATTCATCCCCAGCAGTGACGTTTCTATCAACCTTTATATATTGCTGTTATATAGGCCGAGATATATAGACTATAGGTAAAGTATTAAATACATATTCGGAAACAATGCAATCTAAATATTAGAAAGGAACCAAGGAACCAAGAAAAGATTCAACAACTAAAACTCCGCTAATAGCCTACAGATATAACCCTGCTCATAAACTCCGTCCCAAATCAATCTATACACAGGTCCTCGCTCCCTCCCCACCCTCCGGCAACGAGCTCAAAATTGCAACATCTATTGCGGTCTGCTCTGCAGATAGTTCCACCTCCGTCTTCTCCACCGCACCCGGCACCACCTTCGAAGAAGGAGTGACCGACGTGATCAACGGATCCCGCCTATTCAATCCCTTATACCTCACTAGTCCCGACCCGCCTTTCGCCGGCATCGTCCCCAGCTCCAGCACCAGAAACGACTCTAGCACCCACACCGCCCCTGTATCCACCGGCTCCTGGAACGCCGCCAGCAGTCTGAAATCATATCGACTCCCTTCCTCCTGTATACATCTGTAATGCGCTGTTGCAACACTCTTCTTCTCAATCTCCGCCAGATGTTGAGCTACCCTCCGTCCAACGCCAGCACCCCCGCACGCCCGCGTCTCCGCAAATGGGGGGTCAGTGGGGCGGCCCCGTAGCGCCCTCTTCACAAGTCGGCATTTCCCGGAGAGGCTGCTGGCGCCACCGATATAGACGCCGAAAGAGCCGTTGGGCTGCGTGACCACGTTCATATAACAGCCTTGGTTGGGGACGAGGCAATCCTTTTGGAGTTTCCTGTAGTTGGTAATATGGCCCGTGTTGATGAGGCATTTTGTGGCGGGGAGGACAGCGGCGGCTATGAGGCGGTAGGCGGTGGAGAAGGGAGTCGTGGTGAGGAATTGTTTGACTTCGAGGGAGGCGGGGAGCGTCGAGGTTTGCAGGCGGGAATAGTAGTAGAGAAGGATTTGGCGGAGACGGATGTGGAAGTGGTCGTTGGGGATGCGGCCGACCTTTTTGGACTTTTTCTTTTTCTTTGGGATAATTGCGGACTCTGCGGCCTCTGCGGGCGTGGAGGTTTGTGCAGAGATTACGCTTAGATCTGGGGTACCAAAATCTAGGGTACCAATATCTGGGGTACCAAGTTAGCTACTTAGACATGCTAATATTTAGCTGAAAGTACTTACCCAGTGTAGTACTGAACAGAGGCTCTAGATTCACTTTCGCTAGGTCACCTGGACCCGAAGTTCGGTCCCCACTGAAGGCTTTATTTTTCTTGGTCTTTACACCCACAGGCTCCTTCTAAAGCTCATATCAGCTCAGCTTCTCATGTTTCTTGGATTTATCATACATTCTTTCCTACACTCTCTTCTGCTGCTTCCCGCGGTAACGCTTGCTTGTCTTTATTGCTTTTCTTTCCGGATTTCTTGGGTGCTGTGGCGGTCTCGGTCGATAGAGACATATCCAAAAGCTCTGTTTTTTTAACATCCTTATCGGTACTCTTCTCGAGTTTCTACGTCACATCACCATGCATTAGAGGATCATCGCCCTCATATTATAGCAGATGGTAGACAAGTGTACCTTTGATACTTTAGGTTCATGCTCGGCTTTGGGTTTTTGCTGAGCTTTGGGTTTTTGCTGAGCTTTGAGTTTTTTCTCGGCTTTGGGTTTGGGCGTTACGACCTCCTGCGATATGGACTTATCGAAAAAGCCGACCTTCGCGGCACCCCCAGTCTGATTGGCCTCTGTTATTCTTTTTAGTTCCTACGCCTCATGTTAGTCAGCTTCTTCTTCACGTGGCACGCTGAAGATTCAACGTACCTTAATGATCCTGGATTCCAGCTGAACTCTCTGTATTGACCCCTTTTCGGGAGCTGAGATTCCCTTTGGCAGAGACATATCAAAAAAGTTGGTCCCTGCAGCTTGGTGAGACTTGATAGCCTAACTTCCGTATTAGCTAATCCTGAATTATATGCTGGTTTGATATATATACCTTTGCTACATTCCCCAGTTTGCTCTTTGCAACATCAGGCGATAAGGATGTATCAAAAAACTCGATTTTAGCAACATCTTTACTGGTTTTTCCTTTCCCCAGTTTGCTCTTTGCAACATCAGGCGATAAGGATGTATCAAAAAACTCGGTTTTAGCAACATCTTTACCGGTTTTTCCTTTCCCCAGTCCCTATGCACGCACATGTCAGATATGACCTAATATATATAGCTGTTTGTACAGCCCACCTTTAATATAGCACCCGGAGATTTCTTGGTATTTCCAGCCCGGAGTAACTCTGAATGTCGAAACTGTGCTCGAGGATAGGTACTAAACTTCACGTTCTGAACCAACTGGCGCTGGACCGGAGAGGAGCGTGTAAAGAGTCTGAACATGATCGATAATAAAACTATAAGGACACTGGTAAGAATATATCGAAACAGCCACGACACAAGACCAAAAGCTCGATCTGGTCTCTAGTCTCTGGGCTCAAAGTGACGCTTGTATATAGAATCGTTCACTTCCTTCCTTCCTTCTTTATCTTATATAGAATGGAATATCTCACCCCCCCCCCCCCCCCCCTTAACCTGCATCTAGTAGCTTCCGTGGGTGTCTTTGCTGCTGCTGCGGTAAGGCCCTCCTTTTTTTCGAATATCAAAACTTAAGACCTGGATTGGGGGTTTGTATAGGGTAGCATGCCCAAAGCGTAGGATCGTTGGCTCCCATGCCACGAATACCGAATGAGACCACATGATTCAGGGCTCAAATCTTAAGTAAAGTAATCCACATATGATGTACCATCCATCCCCTTACCTCCAGCTCGTAGAGTCATCGACCAGGTAGCCCCATATCCTATTGGCGCACCCAAGCTATCGGTCCGCACTGCCTCTGTCGCGCTATTCGCCCAGGCCAATGAGGCATGAGGCTCAGCGGCTAGATAGCTATGTAGGTACATACATGTAGCTCTAGGTAGCCATTTTTTCCCCCGCCACATTCAGGCGGCAAGTTTTACACGCCGGCGGCACAGGGTGAGGCTCTGATATTAACGTTGAAATATAACCCCATCACAGCAAATCAAAGCAAACAACCACCTTCCCCCCCCCCCTCCCCTTAATTTGGAGCATGTGATAAGTGTAACCCTAACCCTGGAGAGATAGCCGCGTGATTGGTGCGGATGGCGATGGTTTATGAGGGGACATTCTGGTGGGAAATTGGAGGTTGAGGCTGGAAACCGCGAGGTTCACGAATTCGCTGGATAGGTACGGGGGCTGTACATGTACATGTACATATTGATATAATGCAAGTAGTGGCCTGGCTGGCTTGGGTGTTGGCGGGTTCTGCGGGTGGGGGTGTCTAATTCTGGTGAGATTATCTGGGAAGAATAGATACTGGGGGATATATATTGAAGGCTGATGATGATGGCCGTTGGTGGGGTTACGACGTTGGGTTGTGGGTTGTAGTCATGGGATATCACTCGATGAAGTAGTTGGTTCTTAGTCGGTTATCGAAGGGCGCGCGCTAGGTACGGGAACATACATGTACATGTATCCTTTGACTATTAGCCTAGACGAAAAAACGATTTATTACATGTAGGTGGTTTTAGGTGTCAATAACTTACTTTTTGGGGGTGAAGTGGCTACTACTAGATCTGTAATGGCCCGCCTTGTAGCTTCAAAAAAGAAAAGATACATAGTCGATCTGTAGTTCCTATGACCGCTTACAGATTTCTGTGTACCTCCTTATCTTCGATGGGCGAAGTGCCTCTAGCGCCGCGGAGGGTGAGTTTGGCGGGGGAAATATGTAGCCGCCATAAATGTAGGTACTTGTGTGTTAGCTACACATCTACGGCTTGGTTGGTTGGTGGGTTGTGCACGCGGGTTTTGTTTGGTAGAGAAACTGGGGTGTTGGCTGCTTAAGTATTATCGCTGATATGGATGCATGTGGTTGAAAACGGGAAAAAGATGAACAGGAGAAAAAGAAGGAGGTAGAGAAGAAGAAGAGGAAGTGATCGCCATATATACTAGAGCTTTTATGTTACGTTATTCCGTAATATTGTCCTATGTTTTGATTACACCACAGTTCGCTGCATTGTTCTTGTGAAATTAATTTACCGTTATCAGTGTTGCCCCGCGGCCCCGGTCTATCTTACGAGGATTTACTTCTGTTTATTGCGACGCTCAGCTCGCTGGGTCGAGTGCTGTGGGGGTGTCTGGGGGTTTGCATTGGTGATTTTCTCGATCGCGGGCCGGGGCCCATATGAGTAAATACATTGTTGCAATTATGTGGATTGTTTTATCACGTCTTAGAATTGACAGCGGCATCAAATCGATCAAAATAAATTCTCAACGCAGAAAGTGCGAGTGATAATACATGACGAAAAGCCAAGACTTTCCGGCTCAGAGCATTACTGTTCATGGTCCGCCATATACAGACTAAAGCAACTACAAGAAGTACATGGCTCGACTGGAACTTCTAGACCAGGTATTTGAATAGAGTTTGAGGGACGATCTTGGCGTCAGATTTATGGTTAAAACTAAAAACGTCTCCCGTCCCTGAACAATGAGCCCCTGTATGTGTCCCCTACCGGAGGACCCAACCTGGTTTAAGCGCTCCGGATCGCGGAGCTATGCCACGTCTAGCTCGTATTACAAAACAGGTGGTCGATCGACGTCATAAGAACATCCGCGAGGATTGGCCTCCTCGGCCACGTCCTCACCTCTCTTCTATTAACTTTTCTTAATCACGCCCATCATCACTCTATCTGAGAGCAACAGGATCACCATTGACAGATCATGAGTAGATCATATAACGGAATAGTAGAGTTTAGTAATCGTCCCCAAAACTCCACTTCTCCTATTCACAGCCGATTACTCACATCAGGCCTTTAGTTATGTTTGACAATGGAACCAAATCTTTAAGTTTGAAATTTATCATATTATTCGTTAAAACGGTTTCTCCCTTCCAACCAATAATTACAATACCATTTATCATCGGCTAAGACCAAAAGCGTTCTAAAAGGAAGGGCATCAAAAAGCAGGAACGCAAGGAAATAATTGACAAAGGAAACCACTAAACTCTCTGTCTATTTGTACCAATTGGCCTGAGCATCTCCGAGACACTCTCCAAGGGTAACAAATCGGTACCCTAGTGACTTGCCGTAATCAATCATATACTTCGTAAGAGTGTGTACGGTTTGCTCATGGATATCATGGCCAATGGCTAGGAATGATGATGATGCTGGGTTACCGCCATCTAGAGCCGACTTATACCTGTTTTGCGAGTTGACTATCAGGGATGGCGAGTCGTTGTTGTAGTCATCCGTGTCAAGGTCAAAGTACACGATGTGGTATCCCAAGTCTTGCATGGTAGCCACGCAGGCGCTGCCACATGAGGAGTATGGGGGCCTCATGTAGCTTGGGACTACGCCTATGATATTGCGGAAGGCTTCCTCATTTCTCGTCTGTATTTTTGCCCAAAATTAGTAAGTTGCTTGTCGTCACTTTATACAGACAGAATTTACCATCTGTCTTCTCCTATCGTCTTCTGCCAATGTCGATAAATCTAGATGATCCCATGTGTGACTAGCAATCTGGTGGCCACTTCCATACTGTCTCTTGATTATCTCGGTCCACTGTTGGGTGACATCGATGGCGCCTTTGCCATTATTGTTTCCTGTGATGAAGAAGGTGACCTTGACGTCGCCGTAACCGTCCAGGATGTTCATAATGTCGGAGGTGTATTTGTCAGGACCATCATCGAAGGTGAGAGCAATAGTTCCCGGTACAGTACAGTCGTTTATTACAGCTACGGCAACAGTAGGTTAGTGTGGATTTGATGACGGTGAAGAATATGTATATTACTTGGACCGTTAAACGCTCGGGGGGATTTGGAGGAACTGGTAGGGTGGGCGAGTGATAGACCAGCTGAGAGAAGCTCAAGTAGAGCAATTGCTCCGATTTTGTTGAAAAACATGGTAAAAGAGGTAGAAGAACTGGAATTATATGGCGGATTGGTATAACTTGCAATAAGACTCTGATGCTTTTTGAGATTGAACCGATTGCTTTAGACTGTCCTGTCTGGATGTAGATGAATATTCGGGGGAGAGGTCTGCCTTTAAAGCCTTTTCGGGTTCCCAAAATAACCAATATTTATAGGACTCGCGTTCTATAGCTTGAAACCGAATCCTTGATCGGGATAACACTGGTATGTATCAACCAGTGCTTTTACAAAAGAACCTTTGTAATAATCCTGCCGCCGCGGTTTAGGTACGATCAGCTACTTAGTTGCACTTGCAATTGCGGCACGGAGGTACCTACTGGTGCTTTACCTACAATTCATCGCAGCAATGACTACAAGGCAGGGATCGCATCTTGTACAGGACATGTCATCCATACTGTTTTTACCTATCACTAGGGCATGCTAACATGCATGAGCACATCAACGAATGAATTGCGCATTTAGGGCTGGATCCAGGTGTATGTGGTCAATGAATTCGGATGATTCTGCCCAAAAGGTCAAGGGAATGGTGCTGTTCCTGCCCGACGGTGATGCGTTTTCCTCTGCTTACTTGCCCTGCTTACTTACATCAACATTCCTGACAGAGTGTTTTGGCGAATCGCACATATCTGCGTACAAAAACTCACCCTCATGGCTAGGTAGATGAAGAGGAACAAATGAACAATGCTTGTGATTATTGCCCCACTTGGCAGACTTGGCCAATCATAAGTATCTGGCTGGTGGCTAATACTCTGCAAGGCCGGGATTTGCCTTAGGCTCTCTGAATTGCATGGTAGACACCCAGTTGGGAGAAATACTTACAGATGGCCGTTGCGTCACCTCATTGATGCTTGCAAGTCGAAAAAGAACAAAGAATGTAGCCATTGAGACAACGCCAAGTTCGCTTTGGCTCGGCATGAAAGACTGACCGCAGAGCTGTTATTCTGCCGATAAAATTTAAAAGGTACCAACATGATCAACAATAACAATAATGATACTGCCAACATATCGGCTGGGACCTACAAGTCTGATATTGTCTTTTTTTCTTAAAAATAGTTATTTGTAGGTATTCTACTCTACGTAAGGCGAGCCTCCGGGGGTAGTCCCGTACCGCGCGCGGTTCGTAGTGCTGAAAATCCCCGTGTAAAGGTTTAGGAATCCCGTCTTCTCCACGTTTCTGGACGATTAGACTCCCTGAAATTTGATCTACCTACAATAATTCTACATACAATCGGTGGGTGCCGAGCTTCCGCTGCAAGTTTGCGGACGAACACGCTGGATCACATTAACAGAGCTGACTGAGTCTGAGTGTTATGTAGTATGCTTTAGCTACTACATGTCTAGGAGAGTACTCTGCTCTTGCCATTCCTTAATCTTTATTTTACTCGGGGTTCTCGTGGTGAATGACTGCCAACAAAGAGAGACATCGGGTTTCACTCGATAAATCTCCGGAAGTAAAGAGAAAAGCGGAATAACACTCTGAAGCTTCTGTTTGATGTGATGCCCGAACTACATAATGTAATGTTACTGGTTCTGGTTTCACGCTACCTAAAGACCGGATTAGGCAACTATGCTGTTCGATTCTCTTTCGGGGTATCAGAGACATAGAAGTGCATTTCGTGTTCGTAGATCCCGAACAACACACTCTGGATTTGCGCCCCCTCGCCTAGCATTCTAAACACCGTTCTTCCCTCCAATGATGCTCTAGACTGTCTGGAGTACCTGAGTGGGCTATATTTGGCAAAGCTTATTTCATCCAAAGATACAAACCACCGGCAATGAGTCTCACTAAGGATTTCTTTCTACTCTAACTCATTTTCCTAGACTGCCACCACGCACAGCTTATACATGTAGCTACATAGTTCATGTAATCCAGTTCATAAAATACCAACATTTCGGAACCGAGTTTATTTTAGATTACACATAAGCATCTGCATGTGAAAAGTCGACATTCAAGGCTGAAAGAAAAAGCACTTCGATTGGGTCATCCTTCACAAATTTCAAACGTGACAGTCTTTTTTGTGATCGGCCCACTGTATCTCTGCGATGTGGAGGAGTTATGATCGTTGTACAACATGAAGGCGCATGTGGCTGATGAATGAGTGGATGTGACACGCTGGCATGAGCACAGGGTAGAGTACATGTAGGTACTAATTCTCTCGTTTACTCCAGCGTCCTCTCTACTAATCACGAGTTGCAGCCTCCACAAAACCAAGTACTCGAGTGTGCTTTGTATTCTGCCGATCGAAATGGCTTGTTATCTTGAAATCCTTCTTTCTTTTGCGCGGGGAATAGAGAGGTGCGCGGTATTTTTCAGCTTCTTCGAGCAGTGGCTGCGTTGGTGGGGTACATGTAGGAAGTACCATGCCTATGATATCGCTTCCCAAGGTACTCGACATATGTACTGGAAATCTTTGAAAAATTGATAATTGATATAATATCATAGCCCATGAGCGGATATACTTCTACCCCTCATTTGACGCCATTAATTATTCCGGGCGGAGCTGGAGCTCGCCGAAAGCCTGGCCTAATCGTCGAGTGATATTACGTGAAGAAATGAGTGAGCTGGTCAGCCGTATTGCAGGGAGCTGAACTATGATCCAGCTATTATAAGGTTGAGAGATTTTTTCTTCTTGGTTAGAAAAGGAATCATAATCCATGACTGGAGGATTTCTCGGGGGGTTATATTCCTACATATGGCTACTTCATAACGTCTAAATCTCTACGCCCTTCGCGTACTCTTTATTGTAGCCATATGTAACTACATGTACCTCCAGGAACATCAATGTCAGCAAAAGTGCACGATAGCCACACTTGTCACGGCCACAGCATGTGATTCGCGTTCCCTAAAATAGTAAAGGAAAGCGAGTGGTAGTGGCACAGCTCCTCCAACGTCGTTAGGCTAAGCTTCACAATAGCGCTGTTTCCCAGGGTAGAGCACTCTACCTCTTCTGTGCACCTAGGCCAATAAACGATCGTCGAACCATGGTTCTGATTGCACTTGGATGCGAAGCTTTGGAGCTAGAGTGATGTTCAAAGACCCTTTTTAGGAAAAGACTAGGTAGCGGGGTGATGGCCAATCAGTGGATATTGAGCAGGGTATAGGCGTGTATGTGGAGTGGTGTGTTTCTTTCTGCTTTGAGTGGTAGAAAACGTTGACCTACTCTAACTCAACGGTCAGGATATCTCTGAAGTCCATCGAGGTACTGCGGATCACGTAGATCGTTGGTTCCTGTTCAATCCAAAGTGCTGCAGATCTGCCTGTGTTGATGTAGGCTGTCATACTCATGTCCACAAGTGCTATGTTTCCCTTTATGGAACTCTGTGAATTCATCCATGCATTCCCAGTTCTACTTATAGCCGAATCCAACGACCTTTGTAAGCAAAGGTCGACGCCTCCAGGTCCGAGCTTTCTAGGGAGGGTGTGCTACTTTTGCACGAGACTGAAGCGGGCATTTTCTGCTCCATTCGGGAAGTTCATCTGTAGACCAAGGATTGCGTTCAACCAAAGCTAGGTCTTTTAACCCTACCCCAATAGAATCTAGACCCGTTATAGAAAGGGAAATAAACGTTGTGTAGCGTCGTCTTCCTGTGGCTTGTGTCTTGGGGAGTGTCGTTACTAGGCCTTGTCCGTTACTAAAAATGACACCACCCATCAGAACTTCATGACATAACTAGACGGGCTAGATTCAGGGACACTTCACTCAATGAGGAGATGGTCATCCACGCACATTTCTTAATGAGCCCACTTCATGAATAGGTGAGAACAGACTACATGTGTCCGCCACAGACGTCTTTACCCCGGTATTAAGAATATTGATCTCACCTAACCCTGACCTCTCACCTGAACTTCGTGACAAGAGTGCCCGACCTTCTTTCAGCTGTAGGGGGCGGGTTCCGTGCTATTGAGCCCAAGCTGATGGAGGTCCTGGTGGAGCTCGGACGTTCATAAAGGATACATGGGGCTTTAATGTAATGACCGTGTGGTCATGCATGGGACTTGGCGAAAACTTAACGGTACGTGAGTGTAAGTGAAAAGTGGCCGACCTGTGCAGTGAAAGCCCTGTAATAAAACTCCGTTCTTCTACCTCTCTTTCTTTCATAAATTCTTCGTCTCAACAGGCTCTGCAGTGAAACGAGCTTCAGGGATGGCCTCGCCGTGCCCTAACCATACACTCCTTCTATGCGTAGGTCGAGCGTCAGGATCATATATTTGACCCTTAATGCTGATATTTTCTACGCTCTTATCATCACTTTCACCACTTCGGTGAATCACGGTCCCATGAACGACCACAAGGGATCATACATGCATGGCCAAGCAGCATAACCCCATTCTCGAAAGGGGTCGAATATGTCCACCTCATAGAAGATACTTTCATGTGGACTGTAAAGACTATTTTACGGCACATACTATTGGTACAAGCTATGGATGGACTGGTCTTTCTAAACCGCAATTGTGTACGGCCTCGTGGTGTTAACACGACTACGCTAGCGCACATACATGTCAAATTTCAGCCAAATATATCGACTAGCATATATCAGCGATTCAACTGCTATCATATCCAAAGACAGGTGGTTACTCTAAGTCAGGGCTAGATAGACAGGAGCACGAGGAAGGCACTTCCAAACCCACCGAGTTTCTCCCCGGCGCATTCTCAATCCGTCATTATAGACCTTCTATTATCAAGTATCAATCTCATCAATCAATATAACAGCAAGTGGTTTTTCATGACACATACCCGATGCAGAGTCAGTCAACGTCAAGACATCGCGGGTACAGTTTCAGTCACAGGATCTCACTCGCAGCATGAATGTTATATCATCATCTATCACTCATTAGCTAACCGCCAGATTACTTGGCAATCGGTCACCAACCCGACTTGTCGTCAACTAGAAGTCCTATTGTATACTTATTCCAAATAGACTATGATACAAGCATCCAGGCCGGCCATCTGGCCAGCCAGCTCCCTACGTGACCCTAAGAAGAAGAATAAAACGAAAGAATAGTGGAGATAAAATAAAGGAAACCTCTGACAACCCACACACCCGAAGAAAAGCCGTACAACAAAGAGATGCGAGACAAGAGATGAGAGAACAAAAATCAAACCCGTTTAACTCCCTAGGCCTTAATAATCCATTCCCGTCCGTTACCCTCCGATAAATATGCTATGAAAACGAAAATCATGAAAAACTAACAAATTTTTTTTCTTTCCCCGAGAACCCTAATATAAAATTATAGAAGAAAAAGTAGAAAAAAAAAACCGAAATATCACGAATGGACTGGCCAAACTTAGCCAAACCATCCACCACCATCACCACTTCCCAGGCCGCCATACCCGTCCATCGCACCCATACCTGCCATGCCCACAAACGGTGCCCCTTCGTCTGTACCGGTCACTGCTGGATCCGGTACCGGCTGTAGCTGCGGAGGTGGCGGGGGCGGTATTTTATTTACTACTTTCTCGGTACTGGGCTTCATGCGTAGTGCCTTCTGCGTGGTATCTACCACTGCCATTTTCCCGTTCCTACTACCCTTGGGCCTGCCCCGCTTCCTCTTCTCTATTGGCGCGTCTTGAACAGCAGCGGTCATGGCCGCGGTAGCGGACGCAAGAAGCGATAGGTCTGCCGTTGAGATGGCGGGGTCTTCGCTGCTGTTATCAGCTTCCTCTACTTCTTCATCATCGTCTTCTCCCTCGCCATCATCATCTATAAGATTAGGCTCGGTGTACTGCGTCCAGAACGAGCTCTGGTCAACGCCTAGCCCTGTAGGATCATGGGTGCTCTGTGCATGCTCATTCATGAGTTGTTGCTCAGGCCCTGTGCTTTGCTGAATCACGGGTTGTTGTTGGTCTTTGAGAGCTGGCTGACTCATTTGCATAACCTTACTGCGAGTTTTACTACCCTTAGGACGACCACGCTTCCGTTTAGGCGGTTCATCGGATTGCGATGTGGACTCGGTTTGTGGGTATGTCGACGGAGCAGGTGGAGAAGGCTGGGCGAGGTCATAACCCCCAAGCGCAGTTTCCGGTAGGACCCAGCTATCACTGTCACTGCTCTTTGCCACTTCTGCTTCTTTGGCGTCAGAAGTCTTCTTTCGCTTCTTCCCAATCTCCTCACTAATCTTCTTCCCTTTGCCTGGCTTGAGACCCAGTTTCTCCCGGACACCGGGTTCGGTGGTATGTTTTCCCACAAAACACCATCCACCAGTTCGATCATCTTCTTTCCGAGGCCACATCAGTAATTGATCTGATGTGCTCTGTACTTCACGGCCACAGCACTTCCATTTCCAGGTTGTCTTGTAATTGTTTTTGCGTCGTGGAAGAGTCACAGCTTCAAGCCCTTGTTCAAAGGTCTTGAATTGGTGCTTGACTGCGCAGGTCGCCTCTGATGAGGGATCGGATGCTGGAGTTGCGCGCCAGGTGGGATTGAAGTCCTTCAGGCATCGCGTGCATTGCACGAGTTTATCAGCCGCATTTTTTCCTCGGGTGGGACCTAGTATCACGGGTGCTGGTATTGGTGCGGGCGGTATTAGGGACTGCTGTTGCTGAAGTTGCTGTTGTTGCGCAAATGGCAAGGGGGGCGGTGCCATAGTTTGCTGCTGTAGCCCCACGGGGCTCGCCGCTATAGGTACAGGGGCTGATGTGCCATCATTCATCTTCGCCTTCTTTCCCGGCGGCCTCCCGCGCTTCTTCTTCGGCGGCTCCTGGGCAGCGTTTCCATTCTGACTGGTAGGAGCTGGCGCTGGTGGCGGCGGGAATACCTCCCCAATCCGCCGCAGGAGACTGCCTTCTGCAAGGGAGGGCCATTGCATCAGCGCATCCGTAATTGTCTTTACTATGCTGTCGGGTGAGTGTTGGCGGAATATGCCGAGGACCCTGGAAAGCTCCCATACAGCTTCTTGAGGAACCGTTGCTGGGTCGAAGGGCTTGACAGCCCCTCCAGCAGTACTGGTGGCTGCAGTCATTGGTGACGGGGCCAGTGGGCGCTGCTGCATGCCCTAGATGTTTCCCCAAAATCAACACACACCCCTCAGGGGAAAAAGAAAAAAGGGCATGTCGGCCGATCCAAGGAGAGCAAAAGGAAAGAAAGAAAAAAAACAAGTGGGATAAACAAAAGAGGGTTTAGGGTTCACCCACAGTTCCTGGTTTCGACATCATAAGAAGCTGCTGTTGCTGCTGTTGCTGCGGCGAGGCAACAGCAACCTTCTGCAAAACACCTCTGCCTGAGCCTGCAGCGGCTGCGACCATAGTACTAGTTTGCTGCGGACCCGACCCCTCCACGTCCATATGCATCACCGAGAAACTCCCCTGCCTTGCATTACCCGATGGCGATGACCCACCACCAGCGCCAGCACCAACATTCACAACACCAGCGCCATTCAAATTCGCTGAACGTCCCCCATTCATCATCACTGGAGACATCGCTGCGGGTGTAGTGGGCGTGGGCGTATCAGACCAAGGAGAGGGCACAAAGTCAGTAACGCGAAACCTCGAACACTGTCCAGCAGGGGCAGACGCAGATGACGGAGACGCTGCAGGTGAAGGGTTTTCGGCGCGGTTGAACTCTGTTAAGCGGAACCTGTGGAATTGCGCAGCAGCAGCAGAGACGGGGTGGCCACTGTTGGGCTTTGAGGAAGAAGTGCCCTTTGTAGATATTGGATGGGGTGGATCTGGGCGCGAGGGCGCTGCTGTGTTTGACTCGTCACGAGGTGCTATCGCGGTGGTCGGTTTGGCCATTTTTTAGGGAGGGGAGACACCCGGTGTTGTTATCGCTTTCGTCGTCGTCGATGAGGAATCAGTCAGCAGTCAAATTGGACTTGAGTCGAAGTTTCTTCTTGTGTAAGTAGTAGAAGATGGTCTTTGGGGGAATATGCTGATGCCTGATGCTTGAGAGAATGAAAGAAGAAGAAGAAGGGGTAGAAGAAAGGTTACAAGAATGACCACTAGGGGGGGTTAAAGAAAAGGTGATGGTTGCATCCAGGGACAGGTAAAGGAACTAGTTAATTGTCACGATATGTTGTTTTGGAGCGAGTGACACGGTGAGAGATCCGGGGGGGGGGGGGGGGGGGTTGGACCAGACAAGGGGCGTCGGTATCTCTCTCTCTCTCGGGGCGAGGTGTTCTCTCTCTATCCTCAGTCTCTTTCTTCTCCTTCCCGACCTCTCTCCTGTCTCTCTTTCTCTCGGCGAATAGCCTTGGGGAGGGCACGGTATTGGATTGGACACGGAACGGAATTGCACCAGTAAGAGGCAGGCAGACGGGCAGGCAAGCAGGCAAGTAGGGTAAGCAAAAGCAAGGTGGGAAGGATACGGTGCTTCCGTCTCCTCTTGCTAAGCAAGTGGTACGTATGGGACTGGTCTGGTATGTATGTATGGTACTCTATTTGTGCCGCCGATGTAGAGTACACAGTAAGTAAGTAAGAATTGTTGTTGTTGGGGGGGGGGGGGGGGGGGTGGAGGGAGGAGGATTGATTAGGATTAGGAGCGAGAGCGAGGGAGGGGAGGTTGGCGGGAGTGTGGTGGTTTGTGGTCGGTCGCATGCGGCATCGACAGACATCGCCGGATGGGATGGAGCGATGGGCTCGGCCTGCCTGTGTTACACTCACTCTAGATCACTCTGCCCTTCTACTCTACCTGCTCTAGCTCAGCATGTAGGTACTTCCCTACTCGAGTGCTACAACCTACACAACTTGACAGGTTGATAACGGTTGGGGGTCGGGCTGGGCTGCGAACTGGGCGGGGGGGAACAAGAGACCAATTGGGACTGCTCTCGAAGAGATAATTTCTTTTCTTTTTCCTCTCCTCCATCGCCAATTCGATGCCCAGAGTGATGAGGGGAGGGGAAACTAGAACAATAGCAGAGAGCGTTGCTTCACAGCTGCTGGAGCTAAGCCTTACACACACATGCTCTGGGTTAACTCATCGCGATGCCGCAGTGTATGTAGGGCTAGGGGTTGTGTTTGTCCAGTCGTGGGTGGGTGTGGTGGGTGGTGTGTGGGTTTGCGCAAATGTGTGGTGTGTGTGAGATTGGAGGTAGAGACACACGATAGCTGCTGAACCTGAGGAAGAACCGTCGAGTCGGATGCCTGACTTGCCATCCCGACTGGACTGGATTGTCTTCCTCTAACCCCCCCCCCCCCCCCCCCCCCCACACACAATCTCCATTCCTAAATACCCACCCGACCTGTTTTCTATCACACCAATCCATCCATTCATCTCCGGCCCCCAATCCAGCAGCGCGGACTACTGGAATACATACATAGTAATAAGTCTCAAGGGCAGGATCGTAGAGAAAGAGCAGAAATCACGTCCGCTTCCGCGGTGACCAATCTTCGGGGTCCCGAGAAGGGGGAACTCCCTCGCGTACGACCCCGCACTCGCTTCTAGTCCTATACATTCTTATGTGTATGTAGACCCCTTTTTAGTCTTGGTCTCTTCTTGGTATCATGTGATGGGGTACTATTCTTGGAGTACTACGAGTACCAAACGGCTTCTTCTGCTTGGATAGGTACAGATGTGCTTTGTGTAGCACTGTTTTTTGTTTTTCCGAGAAGGAAAAAAAAAAAAAAAAACCTAAAGCGGGGCTCGTCCGGTTGGCATATGTATGCGCCGAATTATCCTCTAGCTTGCCTACCTGGTTGAAGTGGTACGCGTGATTTCCATCTTCAACTCTTGGATCGTGAATTTTACTTCCTGATACCCACTACCCTCCACCTTCAACTCCGATTCAACGAAAGAAAGACGTATGAACGAGGGTCCATTACCACCCTTTAACCGGCATCGACCTGTATAACCCATCGCAACAGAAAGTACTCAACACATCCTACCTTCTTACTAACTGTAAATAATAGTAAGCAAGTCGAGTCGTCCTGCTGCCTGTAGCACAGCGCATTACCGGCCACAGTTTTGTTCTCAGCTAGGAGAGGTGTGTATATGTATGGGATGGAACATGTTGGTGCCGATATCACTAGGGAAGGGACTGTTTGCTTCTAGTCGCCTCAGGCTGGTGTCATGAGAAATACCGGACGGACCAAATTGATAGTTTGTACACTAGAAACACCGAAACGATCGGGATGACCATGAGGAAACCATATAGAACCATCGCTCCAATAACGAGGCGGAGGGCGATGTTTGCAATCTCTCTCACTCCTGTCGTCTTGCGATCGCATAGCCTGGTTGTTGTGTTTGTGGTAGGAGGACTGGTGGTGATATTGTGGACATAACTGTGCGGTTCAGATCTAGCTCCTCTTGGACAGGAACCACCACTACAATCATAAACTGGGTTTTTATTCTGCTGTATATTGCAGTAGGTGGTAGGAGAATTGTCTGGTTTGGATATTTAGCTGGAGCGACTAGCTTGGCGGATTAATGAATTGACTTACAATCCCATAGTGATAGCTCTTTAAGGGATGGATACTGGGAGATACTATGAGTGTCTTTCTGCTCTCCGCTAAATACTGGAGTGATAGTCCAGACTTTTGCGCTGGTGGTGAAGGCGAATAGAATCACTATAAGAAGAAAACTGATAGTCGACATTGAAGAGGGAGTTCGGGAAATAGAACTTGACTTGTACTGGTATGCTCTTAGTTATATATCGGAACGCGTGGACACCGACAACAGGCTGTTCGCTGTTCTTCTCTTTTGTTGCGAATTTCCAGATTATGTACTTGGAATCTCGCTCAGGGGAGACACCTGTGTTGTGCTGTTTCATGCGTGTCAGCTCAGCCCTAACTAGCCTCACCACGTATATCGAAAAAGCATGATAGACATTATATGTGGCTGCACCTAGGCGAATCAACGCCAGGAAACAATTTCTATTTTATAAAAAGGCTCCTTTCACTATGATGTGGGGCGTTTTTGATTCCAGTTAGGCCGGCGATTTGCCTTCATGTTGCTAAATTTGACTGCTCGAGGCAAGAATAGTCGCTTGCTCGTTGTGGTCTCCGTATCTGTCAAATAATCCGTGTCCTCAACCTATATAATAAATAGGTATAAGTGGCGGGTGGCGATTTTATCATAAAATATCACTCGCATATATGATGTGATACCAGGGCGAAAAGTTGATTGAACTGCGCCGACCCACAACCCTACCGCTACATGATAAGGACCGTATTTGACTGGACCCGCGAACTTTTTCCGAATGATCTGAGATAAGCCCATGCTATGGACTAGCTATAGACCAGCACCCTGATTTAACAAAATAGAGATTCTGGAGTGGTTTATTTCCGAAGCCGAGTTATGAGTAGATGGATGATGCTGTTGCATTGTCGGTGTTCGGGACGTTAGAACTGAGTAGGATGCATCTCTATCTCCATCGAACCAAAGTTTTCATACTATGTTAGACTTTCCAATGAACCTTCTTTGTTCTCGTGCCAACTTCACATCATGTATATCCTAAGGGGGTATTCCTGTACTTCTTTGCAGTTAGCTATCTATGCGAAGTTTCTCTGGGGTGTGGCTCGCTCTAAGGGGACAGAAACCTAACATAAATAAATTCGAATTCTGTTGCATTAAATGCATCAGAAATCCGCTGGCCCACTCCATCACAGAGATCTAGGATGTAGGTGTTGCCCTTGGCTTACTTCAGTAGCCCTGGTTTAGTTGTCGTTACCACGGACCGTCGATGGACTACATGTAGATTATGGCGTCCTTGTGGGTTGTAGAGACCTCTCTAACATCTTAGTGGCTAGCGATCTTAGATAGCCAACTGTGCCGTCGGCTTGCATTTTCTTGAAGCCACGCAGCCACCCATACTAAATCACTACTGGCAGTGGATTAGGCTTTAGCGGGGTACTGCATGCAGCCATGGTCTCAATTGAGCTGTGAACAACATTCTTTCTTTCAACGAACTCCGGCCTGGCATTCCCGGGGCGGAGAACGCCATAATCGCATGTCAGTCTGCGCACGTGTTTGCATGGATCAATCGCCCTAGATCTTCGGACCTCTCCCGAGATTGGTAGCTATATGAACTCCATGGCCTGTTGAATATTTATGCGGATATGGGTAATTTATTCCATTCTGGGATTCCCGAAGGACTGCAATATATTGATATTAGGTCCATTTTTGGAAGCAACCAAGAGCTGCAAGCTTGAAGCTTGGCCTCTAACAACCGTAACCGCAAGAGCAACCGCAGCCACAACCACAACCGCACCCACAATCGTAACTGCAGCCGCGGCGAACATTTTCCAGGGCTGGATGCTGGTACATACTGGCTCCTTGGCTAATACATGTCAGGAACTCACCATACACAAAATCAAGCAATCTCAATCGAATTCTACCGTAGTGGTTGATTATCTCGATTTTCAGCGAGTATAAATAATAATCATTGATTACTTCATCCTCGACGTCTTCAAACAGCTATAAAATGATATGATCTCTAAATCTATGTCAGATATAGAGTTCCTAAATTGATATAAGAAAGCAAAAGGGTTTGAAGGCGGAGTTAAGCTACTTTTGAACACTACAGGTCAGATATTTAATTGTGGTACCGCAGTATACGTATATGGCTGGATTATCAACTAACTACACAAATATTAAAGTTCATTCACTGTTCGGAGGATAAACTAAATACATCGCCAGCAAGTATTTATCAGCTCTTCGTTCCATCTCAAATCCTCGGAAATTTCCTATACAATATCGACAGTAATATCCTCCGTCGTGAGCATCATCGCCATTAGTTCCAATTGGTCTGGATCTATTAATTCTAATGCCTGATCTCCTAGTCAGATCTCCAGGCGTTGACAGATCTCTGTAAGTCTTGACTCGAATAGAGCGCTGCTGGTGTTGGTAGAATCAAATAGATGCTCCTATTCTTCATATAACAATGGATTATCATGGTCTTGTTTATGTGTACAAGCTTTGCAGGATCGAAAAGAACCCATGCAGGAACGGTAGCGATAGTAACCAAATTTCCTGTGGGCAGTGGAAGCTTCGAAACGCTAGTCAGGCGTCTGATCTGTTGTGTGTAAACATTTACGTGGTCATCGGTTTCTCTCTTAAGTTTAGTCGATACTAGCTGTGTGGTCAATTTGGTCAGTAGATGGACTGATACACTCCCTAAGGAGTTCTTTCTTACCAACTGGTCGAAAGCATTTAAAAATTGTGCATCTGCCAGAGGGATCGAGAGATCCGACCTGCAACGGTATCTCAAAGGGCGTCAAATGGGTCGGGAACATCAGCTAATTGAGGTAGGTATAGAAACCCCACAAAACGAGATATGGATTTGTTGGAACAGGAATATCTTACATCAATTAGTGCTATTCACCGCTAAAAAATGATCCAAGTATCATTTAACCCCTACATAACACCGCATTGAGCTTATTGTGGATGTTAGTAGGTATCGTGCATGCAGTTGGTAAAAACCGTTTCGCTAAGCGCTCTGCCGGTATCATGTGTGTGCGGCCTCTGGCGTTCATAAGCCAAGTACTGCCGTTCACGGGGTATTGACGGACACTGGGTGTTGACGGACAAGCCAAAAGAGAGACAGCCAAGCCCAGTTTTGCCTTCAATTATTGGTCAAAAGTCCCCTGTCCGTCAACACCCAGTGTCCGTCAATACCCCGTGAACGACAGTAATTTCCAACTATAAACGCACTCCGACTACATAATATTCTTGTAATTTAAGCTTCTTTGAACCGAACCAATCAATCAGTCAATCGGCTTCCTTGAACCACCAACCATCAACAGCCCAAGTGAGTGTGGGGGACATAAGCACCTACCTTTACTCGCGTCTAAACTATTTCTCATGCGCTATGAGTTTAACAGCGCCATGATTGGAGTCTAGGGCTGGGGATGGAAGATGTAACTGTGTCTTTCCTCTATGGTTTCTTTGGTTTTGGGAGTGGACTGCTAGATGTTTGTGAGTCATGAGGTATCACTCGGGTCTATAACCTGTGCAGGGGCGATTAACGGTTCTCGCTGGTGGGAGGTACCATAAAAGCATGGTGAGCTATCCAAGAGGGGAGGTATGGTAGACAGTTTTGTAATTTGGTCTAAGGGAGGTAAGTCATAAAGATCTTCGACGGGTAATCAAAGGTGGTTTGGATATTGAACCTTTTGATAATACTTATCACGCATGATATTAGAAACCATGTCATGTCATGATCGAATAGAAAGATATTTTAGTATACAAACTTGAACACATACCGAGTGCTCATATGCATAATGTATTAATACTGCCAAGTGGCTACAAGAGGTTGGTGGGCCATGATGTAGATTGTCATGGCAGGGTTAAGTGTCCCTACTCTCAGCGTATACGTAATCCTAGCTTGAACTATCTTAGCTTCTCGCTCGATCATTGTTTGGTCCTTGAAACTTTTTCGGGTCATATTCTTTTATAGTATAGTAGATAAATATGTGGTCACGATAGATTGATCACTGCGAGTTGATTTATATAACCTACTCCAACAGAACAACAAGGTAGGAAAGCAACGTTATTCACTTGTCTATCACTCATGCCACATTATGGTTGGATCGATTTATTTTATCCATTCCTCCTTATGAATGGAGCACGTCTCGATTGAAGCTCATATCAGATCTTTTAATGTTTTTGTTCTATCATGAAGTGTACCTATGTTTGTTTTAAAGAACCAAGCATAATCTATATTCCAGAAAACTGCACCTAAACCGCATTGACCCGCGCCAAAATGCTCCCAGACAAACATTGAAACTTGAAACCAAACGAAACCCGTAATATAAACAAGAACTGCACATCCCCACAGACATAGCCCATACACCATAAACGAACCCAAGCTAGGTAGCTCCCAGAGCCCACCCCCCCAAAAAATCCATAACCACATAATCATTTACTCATTTACTCATAACCCATTACCCCAACTTCCCACAACCACCACCTCGCACACCTCCTCACAGCACTCCTCCCCACCCCACGCCCACCGCCAACCCCACCACCCCCCACAACCACCACCCCCCGCCCCGTCCCCTCCCCGCCCCCGACCTATCACTCGCCGGCGCCGGTATCTGATACTTTGTCAGATTCTGCGGAATCACATAGCCCGTGCACGCGCTCTGGTACGGGCAGCACGCAATGGTGCCCAGGCTGTCGAACGTGCACACGGTGTTAACGGGGCAGCAGACTTCGGGGTGGTCCACGGTGTTGCAGGACAGGTAGCCGTCGCGGCAGATTGGCGGCGCGAACGGGTTGGTGTTGTCTGTTTGAGCTACTGCTGTTGCTGATGCTGGTTGGAGGAGGAGTGAGAGGAGGAGTGAGAGGAGGGTGGAGAGGAGGGTGGAGAGGAGTGGTGGGAAGAGTGGGGAGAAGAGCGGGGAGAGTCGCATGTTGGTGCAGGTGTGCTGATCAGGGTGGGTTATGTGGATGATAGGTATGTATATGTACAGCTAGCTCTCGCTTTCGGATGGCTGCTTTTGATCTCTAGCTCTCGCCTGATCTCACAATCTCTCTCTCTCGCTCTCCAGCAGGTATGTAGCTCTCTATGGCTGCGACTAAAGAGCAGCACCGCACTCTAAATATGACAGCCCCTCCAGCTGGTTGGGCTGGCCGGGCGCTTATATCTTGTTCATAGTGTTGTTGTTCCAGCTTGTTGTCACCCGTCCTGCGCGGGCTATCATTGGCCGCCCTCTTCGGGCTGGCCAGGCACCCGTTGCCCAGCAACCATGGCATACAGTCCGCCCTACACTACAGTGCCGAAACCGCGGATGTGTCAGGCGCGGTGGGGGGCCAATCAGTAATATTGGACCGTTGAAGAAGGACTCGATGGTGGCTTGCTGTGGATGGTGTTGCAGTGGGGAACTGGGTTGAGCGCTAGCCACTGATAGTGCCACTGGTAAATGGTATCTTTTATAAAGGGTTTCTTGTGGTAGCTGTTATGATTGAGCTAGTAATAGCTGGGGACTACTAAGCTTCTTTATCTGCTTATCAGGACCCAGCATATATCTAACCGATTTCCACTATCTTGTTCGGTTGAAAAGTCGTAAAACCTTAAAGCTGTCACCTTCAAGACTGGCCGAGCCATGGTTAATTATAAAGCTAGCGTTGTGGGGCGTTCTAGCTATTCTTTGGGACACAGGGCTACAGAACCGAATATCTAGAGTACTAGTAGTGAGCATGTCGGTATTGTTTTAATGCTTTTATTCGCAATGGAGCTTAGGGTATCGATGGTAAACAAAGTTCGACAAAGTTCGAAGCCTAAGTCGACGTCAACAACCAAGCTCATGTGTTCCCTGTCTCACCTTCTTATCCCGAGATGCACACACTCGATCGAGTGACCACTCATGTGGCCATGGTGCCTGTTAATATATTGGCTCCCCGCTATTCGATAAGAAATCGACGCTGGATTTAAATTTACCCCTGCGTTTATACTTGTTTGTTCCTGCACTTCTTTCGCAGATACTGTGTTCTCACGTGGAAATCGCTATATCTAGATGCCAAGTGATGTTTAAACATACAAGTGGTTGAATCATCATGAAGCCCTATATAATTCTGCGGAGCTAGCCATCACAATATATAATATTGTCCCGACGACAACCAGACAGACGTTATGCAAACCTTACCCACCGGCCTGTTTCTCCCACGGCCCACACACACTCACACAAATCCTCCAGCTCCACCGACTCAGTTCAGCTCTAAATCGCATCACCGATCCCCTCGGCCAAAAACCCTGCTTCTCCCTCAGTCACCAGGCACTCCAGTCCTGATCCCAACCCAACCCACCCCAACCCACCACCCCTCGCTTACGTAACGCCCGCCAACCCCTTTCGGCGCCCGCACCACAACCTCACTCCCACACCCGCACGCCATCTCCCCCACCAACCTCACCTACCTCACCGCACCGCAATCTCCACTCCACAATCCACACACAACACCACACAGCCATGCCCGCCCTCCGCGCACCGCCGACGCTCTCGCTGCTCTCGCGCGCGTCGACGACTACCTCTCTGACACACCTGTACCCCACGCCGCTCACGCGCTCCATGTCCTCGTCGTCCCACGGCTCCCACTACGACCCGCCCACCGGCTGGTTCTTGGGCGTCCCGCCGGGCGAGAAGCAGGCGAAGGAGGGGTGGGAGGGGATCTGGTACTGGGGTTTCTTTGGTGGGCTGTTTGCGGCCGGGGTGGCGTACGCTTATAAGCCGGATACTTCGTAAGTTTTCTCTCTTTTTTGATATGTTTGATAGTGGGTAATGTATGGGTGCTGATTGTGGTGGGTGGGTCTGTAGGATTCAGAGTTGGGCGCTGGAAGAGGCGAGGAGGAGGCTCGAGGCCGAGGGCATCATTGAGGACTCGACGAAGGGGCAGAAGTCGTTGCTGCGTACGGTCTCGGGGAGTCTGCCGCCGAAGCATTGAGTCGGGTGCTATCTGTCATAGCACGAAACAATCGCCCCCCGGTATTATAAACGCAGCAGCAACAGCACTTCTTCATCATCATCATAGTCATGTACGGAAGCAAAGCAAAGCAACCACAATGAATTTTTTCTCTTGCCTGTCTGTCCTGTCATGATTGTGTTGAGACTACCGCCCTGTATAGAGACTGAGAGATTGAGAGAGAGAGAGAGAGATTGATCCTACCCCCCGGCCCCTTGTGTTTTTCTTTTACTTTTTTATGGCTTTTTTTCTTTTCGTTTGTTGTATTGCTGTTGCTGCTTTCCTGCTTTGACTTTGATCGCTGCTTTACGTCCTTCGCTCGTTCATTCTAGTACATGTTTTTTCAAGTCTAATTTACCCCAGGATGGGATTGCGATGATGGGATGGCGATGGAAAGGACGGGGGATGGATTGGGGATGGCGATGGAATGGGGATGGGGGTATTGCTTTGTCTGACATAGAGCCTGGAAGAAGAAACTATACCGAATTATCACTCACTCACTCATTCACTGTGCTGCGGATTGGATAGATTAGAAAGGTTGGGATTGGGGATTGGGGATGGGGGTGGGTGGTATATAGGGGTTTCGAATAAGATATTTATTTATTTTACACTGGCATTGCAGCTCCTTGGCGAGTAGTACTTTCGCTCTCTCTCTGTCTTCCCTTCTCTCATGCTTTCTTGCTGTGGTTCTCGATATGAGGTCCACCCACTGTGGAAGAGTCATACAACCCGGGCCCCAACATCCAAAACATCGGACGAAACCAATCCATTCCCTCGGCTAACATCCCCAATCATATCCCTCCCAATTTCCTCCCTTCCTCCTCCTATCACCTCCCTCATATCCTCACCCCCCCTACCCTCCTTCACCCTCCTCCATTCACAACCCTCTCACTCGGATTGATATCGCCCCTCGGCGCGGTGCGGCCGGGTAAGCCCAATCCCGGCCGGGTCACTTCGGATGCGACGCGGGCTGACGTTGGAAGTTGGTTTAGCCAAGGATTGGGGGCGCCATGACGTCGTGGACCCTAACCCTGGCTTGGAGGGTTGGGGGTGCCAAGACTAAGAGGATGCTTGATTGAAATATCGAGATATCAATGGAACAATCAAGGTGTAATATAGGGTGAATCAAGCAATTGCCAAGTAGAAAAAGGACCATGCAATGCCTTCAAGTACCATGGCCTTCGAGGATGAGAAGGCGAGAGGAAACATCACTTCATCATTATCATGATATTGGGATCCGCTCCTGAAGTCCTGAGCATCATGGTCGTAAAACATTCATTAATTGGCACATGCACATCGTTCCTCAGCACCATATAAACGCCTACAAACAGATTACTATCCCTCTGAATCTCCTATTACTAACTTACTTACTTGCTATTTACCGCCTATTCTAACCCGCTCCATTCCGCTCACAGAGTCAGCCAGAAAGAGAAAAAGAGGAAAAGAAGATAACCCTATTATCCGATAAAAAAAAAACATGAAGAAAAAAAACGATACCCAGCAGACGGTCTATGTCCCCCCACACTTCTTGCTTCACAACCCATCACTCGTCATCACTCATCCATCAAAACAAAAGCAGAAAAACAAAAGTAGACTCCCGCTCACACAAGTAAACCAAGAACCAAAAGCCACAATAATATATATAATAAAAAAGTAAGAAAAAAAAAAGAAAAAAACTACAACAAACTCTCCCACGCATCTAGCCCCTTCTTCTCCTGCTTTTTCGCTGCCAACACCCCACTCCCAATCACCAAATTCATCCCCCCACCCCCACCCATACCCGTACCCATACCACCGCCACCACCACTCCCAGGCGGCGGCGGTATCATAAAGCCCGCGAACGCGCCCGTCCCCTGTGGCGCTGGCGCTGCCTGCTGCCGCGTCTGCCCGTACAGTATCGTCGGATGACTCTGTTGCTGCTGCTGCGGCTGCGGCTGCGGCGATGGGAACCCATTGTTCCGATTCTGGGTCTGGTTCTGGTTCATACCCATGCCCATGCCGTAGTTTGTGGAAGTGCTAGGCTTCGGCGTCAACGGCGCCGTGCTGAGCGTTGGCTTCTTTGTGCCGGCGACGGAGGACCAGTCGATTGTCATACCGCCCATATTATTCTGTGTGTTCTGTTGTTGCTGCTGCTGCGGCTGCTGTGGGCGGAGGGCGGTTGTGCTGCCGAAGCCGGGGGAGGGCTGCGGCTGTAGTGTGCCCATACCCATTCCCATTCCCATGCCCATTCCCATGCCGCCCATTCCCATGCTCATGCTGTTGTTGCTACTGAGAGGCGGCGGAATGCCTGGTGACGAGGGCGTCAATGGCGCGAACCGCGAGTCTGGCGTGGCGGCCCGCTGTGGTCTCATGCTGGGCGGCGGACTATGTGTTGCGCTGCTGGGCGTAGACCAGCTGAACGATGCCGTCTCCTGCTTCTTCTGTGGCGCCGGGCCCAAACTTGAGCCGATATCGTTGTTGCTACTGCTTGCGCCGCCCCAGCCGGGACTGCTGGTACCGTTACTGGGCTTGCTCTTGCCGAAGACGAGGTCTGCGAAGGCATCGCCGTCGCCGCCGGAGGAGCCGGTGTTTGCGCCGGGGATGCCGCCGAATGATAGGAATTCGCCCGCACCGTTGCTGGTGTTGCTGGGGCCGGAGGAGGACAGTTCTTGGAGTTTGCGAGTTTGCTCTTGTTCGATCTTGGATGAGAGGGATTTGATTGTGGCCATGAATGCTTGGAACTGTAATATTTTATCAGCACTAGAAATGATCACTTGAACTTCTGTAAAGGTCGAGATACATACCTGCTCCAGACCCAGCAGCGGGCCAAAACTCATGGTCCACAGCCCTGGCAGTAGCTCCATTGCCACAATCTCTCGGTCACAGATCTTGCCAATCTCTGAGAAAACCTCCAGCGCCGCCATCATCACTGCCGGCTCCTTTGTCTTGATGCCCTTCAGCAACGGCACCACCCTCTCCTGAATCGTATACTTATCCAGCACCGGGCAGTCCCCGGCTCTCTGCTTCTCAATCTTATTGAATCCCTCCAAGCCATCCGTATTGACCGGCGGTGTCCCCCCACACAGCACCTTAAACGCCTCCAACCCGCGAATCTTGATACCCAGCGACGAAGTCTTCGTAAACACCGACGCCACCACGGGGAACAGCTCATTCTTCAGTGTCGGAAAGTCCAGCTTCGGGAGCACAACGACCAGCGACCTCAACGCAAGGTCCTGCAGCGCATGTGTCGGCGATTCGAGCGCAAGCTGGTAGATGGGCAGGATATCCTCCTTGAACTCGCGCGACGTTGTCTTCTCCATTATGATTGGTAGGCTCGAGATCACGACCGTCAGCCCGCCTTCACGCCCAGCTTCCTTCTCGCGCTCCGCGATCTTGGCAGCGGCGGTCTTGGGTTCGGTGGAGGGTGTGCTGGTGCCGGCGGCGGGTAAGAACACTTCTTTCAGCTTGTGTAGGACCTTCTCGCTGAAGAGGCGGGCGGAGCCGGCTTCGGCAATGGCGAAAACGTTCGGAAGGACGAGCGCTAGCATACTGCCGTCTCGCAGCTCTTCGACAAGGCCCGGGAGAATCTTCTTTTCTAGAACACTGCGGGGAAACTGTGGGAGGACCTTTGGGAGGCCTCGCATGAAAGCAGATTTCTCGCTAGGGGTTTTGGCGGGGAGACTGTCGAGGAAGCGCAGGGCGGAGACGAGAATGTTGTCGAAGTACTCGTTCTCCTGGAATTCGCGCGCAGTGATGCGGCCAGCGGGTCGGCGGGTTAGAAGGTGCGGGAGAAGAGCATCGACAAGGGCTCGCGGGAGCGGCTTCGAAGAAAGGAAATTGTTGGATGTATTTGGGGTGGTTGATGGTGTGCTGAGGAGGCGTCGGTAACTGGAAGCTGAGTTGTGTGTTTCAAGCGGGGACTTGTGCGGGTGGTTGTATAGGGCCACGATAAGAAGCCCAAGGGAAAACAAGTCTGTAGATGGTGAGATGGTGTTGTCGAGGACAAGTTCCGGGGAAGCGTAGTCGAGAGCAATCTGAACATTCGGAGGTAGACGGGCGTCGAACGCCGGTGGGAGTGGGGGGTTTGTAGATGGAATCGTGAATGATAGAGAAGTGAGCTTCCAGTCAGACTATAAAAGGTTGTCAGCATCTGTAGAAACCAAGAACAGTTGAGGGGGTGTCTAAGAGGATATTTGCGGGATCCAAGTACCAGAATGTGTACAAGGGCCGTGAATATATAGCTGCCATAGAGCTGTAAATGGTAGTAGGAGAGCTCTCCCGGGCTCACACATGCGAAAGTAACTCCTTTAGAAACATAAAATATCACCAACCTTAGCATTGATCATGACAGCATCCGGCGTGATGTTCCCATGAACCAATGCTGCACTCTCGTGAAGAAACTCCAACGCCTTCCCGATCTGCAGCAAGCCCTTCTGGATCTCCAGCTCGTCGATATCAATATCTGCTCGTCTCCTACCACCTATTGAGCTCTCCCTTCCATATCTCCCGTTACTTCTGCCCTCCTCCTCATCCTTTTCTTGCAGCAGCTTCGAAAGACTGCTCAAGACAGCCTCCGTCGCAAACATTAACCCCCCACCCCGCGTATCCTCCACCGGCTCCGCAAGCTCCAGCACACACGGGTGTCGTAATCTTGCAAGTAAGCTGGCCCCCTTCTTCAACCTCTCCACAACTTCGTCCTGTGCTGCCTTGAGGCCATCCCTGGAGCTGCCGCCACCACGAAGCGAGAGACCATTGCTGGAGCCGCCGCCCGACTCAAGCGATTTCCGCTCAAAGATCCAGACCGAGACGGCTTGGTTCGTTTTCTTCTTTTTAGCGTCGTGGATTCGCCATGGTCCGCAGTAGGTGGTTGGTTCGGGAGAGAGGGTGTAGTTGGAGGTGATGTTGGAGGTGAAGGATTTGAGGGCGTTTGTGAACATGGTGTCCTTGTGTGTCGCGTGTTTCGCGGTGGTAATTCTAGGGAAACGATGGTGGATTTCTCGCCGGGAGAGATTCTGGTATTTCTGTGCCTACTGGGCGCCCCACACACGAGAGAGGAAGGCAGTACGGTAGTGGGGTGGGCGAGTGAACGAGTGAGAGTGGTAAAGATTGCGACTCGGGTCTGAGATGTTCTTGGTGTTGAGCTCCTGAAAGGTTGCGGCTGAATGCAGACAGAAATAACTAGGGTGTATGCGCAATCGATTCCCCCACCAATAAGTCCGCACGTCGTCACGGAGGTGCAATAAGAAGTGCAAGGAGGTATATGTAACTTCTGTGGGTTCTATTGGGAATATCTCACTGGCTATGACGAAGGAGATGGCCTCAACTTTTCACTTTTTGTGTGAAGTCTACCGACAAAGCATCTAATAGAACGGTGTCGGCATATATTGAACCTACAGCTCCGGGGTTCTTTGTTGAAACTCCTTCGAAACCGGGGGTGAGATGTGGCTAGTGAATCCACTAACTGCACTGGGCCCGAAAGCTCTGAAAAAATATCATCTCGACGAGGCAAGAAGTTAGACCTCGAACTCTAGCTATCTTGAATTCGACAATAAATGTATCATAGTAGGGATTCGAACTTGTACATGTAGCTACCGAATTTTGTTATTTCCTAGTTATAAAAAGCTACAGCATGGCGCCTATATATAAAATAGAGTACATCACTGTTCCTATAGGTACATGTACATACATGGATGGCAAGTTCTCTGCTTATTATCGGTTATCGAGGCTGTGAAGTTATATTAATGGTTCAGATCCATACTTATCAGTATGCCGTATTAATCGCCATAGAGTACGCAGATTACTGACCAGGGCCCAGAAGGAGCAGTATGTTTGCTGATTAACCATACAACGAGTGATAAAATATGACTTAATTGGTGCTTCAATCAAATGGATGATATTGCAGGTCTGAAGTAAGACCTCCGGCCGGTTGGTGCATGCACACAATTACACAATCTTCCATACATGTATGAATTGAATACAACTCAATCACCTCGACTCAAGTGTTTGGTTTGTATTAGGGATTACGCGCAGTACGTGTTGTACCAATACTTGTGCTCAGCTACATAAAAAGTCACACTAGCAAATGTTTCATCAACTACCACCACACCTCACCTCCAAACACCGACATCACCTCTCCATTACCTACCCCATGTCTTATCACCCCACCCGCCACCTTCCCCAGAATCAGGCGGGGTCGATCCCTGGTTTCCATCATTTGGTAGATAACGATACCAAGATGAACATCTTTGCACTACTGCGGGGTGGGGGTTCGGTTTCCTGCCTGGCAACGCCTCATGTGTCATCATGTTTGATAGCACAGAGGTATCGGCACAGGTAATGACAGCTGATGACATAGTAATCTTTTACAAAAAACACGCAGTCTACAGACGGGTTGGTACGTACCTGCTTGCTGGATTTTTTGTACTGATTTACCCACTTTTCTTTTTTCACCAAATTGCAGGAGCGCATGACAGAAATCTTGGCCAATCAATGCACACCCGAACGATTCCGGGGTAGTTATGGAGGGTAGCTCGCCCTTGTAAAACGAAATGGTAGAAAGGGAACGCTCCAAGCAATACCTCTAGGACTCGTACTCCAGAACAGTTCTTCCAGAGTTGAACCAAGATCGTTCACGACGGTGTCAAACGGTTGTCCTGTGCAGCAGAAGCCTAGCTTGCCAGCAACAACTTGCAGAGCTCGAACCAGGGGATACCTACCTACCTACCTACCTATAATTCTCACATTATATATGCTTCTTTCTTTATCGCCCTTACTCCACCTCTCCAGCCCCCCTATTAAAAACGCGAATATCATTTCCAACCATCCGTGCTCAGATACAGAGCGAACGGCTCCCGATTTTGAGAATAGGATCTTGATTCGCATAGTTTCTAGAGAAATCACCGACGACTTTAACAGCGATGGAGTCACGGAGGCCGAGGCCATTTCCAGGGAGGATCAGTAGTCTTTTCCGACGAAAGGGGAGAACTACTGAGCCTAACTCGCCTACCTTCAGCCCATCTGATATCGAATCAACATCGTTCCAGGCATATGGGCTTTGGAGAAAGGGTATGTGGAAAGAGCTCGAGGAGCTTGTACTACCGGCATTACCTACGATGAAAAGGACACTTGGCGAGACGAATTTTGCCACGTTGCGGACAATATTTTTTCTTGCGCAAGCGTTTGCAGAGCAGGCTAGATGGGATGAAGTTGAGAAGTTGCTGTCGCCGGCTTTGCCAATGTTAAGGAAAGCTGTGGGTGAAGTTGATTCAGTTACACTGCGATCAACGGTTCTCCTCGCACAGACCTTTGTGCAGGAAGGATGGTGGGAAGGTGTGGAAGAACTACTCCTCCCAGCGCTGCCAAAAATGAAGGAGACACTAGGTAACGAGGATACAGTCACACTGTACTCGACCTATTTCCTGGCAGCGACTGCTCTAAACCAGGCAAAGTGGGTGCAAGTAGAAGAGCTCTTGAAGCCATCTTTACCGATGATGAAGAAGGAGTTGGGCCAAGGGAATTCAGCCACCCTGCGGTCAACCTTTTTCCTTGCGCAAGCATTTGCCCAACAGGCTCGGTGGAAAGAGGTGGAAAGGCTCATTTTGCCGTCATTGCCGAAGATGAGGAGAGCACTTGGTAGCATGGATGCAGCCACCTTGCGTTCGACAGATCTTCTTGCACAAGCGTTTGCGCAAGAAGATAGGTGGGAGGAAATTGAAGAGTTGCTGTTGCCAACGTTGCCAAAGATGAGAGAGGGATTGGGCGAGGCAAATCCAGTAACTCTGGAATCAATATACTTTCTAGCAACAGCACGCTTGAGCCAAGGCCGATGGAAGGAAGTGGAGGAGCTTCTGGTGCCAGCACTACCAGTAATGAGAGGTGAGGACGAGACTCACCCGGTTACCTTGGGGTCAACGTTCTTCCTCGCAGATGCATTATCTGAGCAAGGTCGTTGGAGGGAAGTAGAAGAGCTCTTGGTTCCAGCACTGGCAATCATGAGAAACTCAAGAGATCAAGGCAAGGCTGATCCGATTACTCTGCGCTCCACATATCTTCTCGCAGAAACATTTTCAAGAAAGAATCGATGGACGGAAGTTGAAGAGCTGTTACTACCGGCGTTGCCGATAATGAAAAACATGGATCCATCCGATCCAGCCACTTTGGGGTCAACATACTTCCTTTCTGAGGTGCTCTCGAGGCAAAAGAGGTGGAAGGAGGTGGAAGAGCTACTTTCGCCAGCAATGCCCATGATCAAGATTCTGGGAGAAGATCATGGGCTCGTTATCAAATCGTTAGAGATCCTTGAAAAGGCAATCCGGGAACAGGACCCAGACCAAAAGCTGTCAAATGAAATAAGTAAAGAAAAAGAATGCGTAAGCGTTTTACAATTTCCAATCTCCATTGCCCCCACCCTACCCGGTTGGAACGAATAGTCAGAACATGAGCCTAAAGGAACATCTTCTCACGAAGTCTATAGAGACAGCGTCAAAATAGGTCAAGCAAGGAACCCATACCGGAGAGCGCCATCGTGCCTTATTTGAAGAGCATCTTTGGCCATAAAGATATCGGATTTGGATTACGTATAACCCTCCAAGGACTTTTATCGTTACCATCATCCACCCCCGAGATATCTGAATGCTTTATAGAGTTCAGAGATTTCCAAGTCGAGTCGATGCCCAGCCCAATTGTCATGACATATGAAATCCAAGAGAACGAGAAATTGATATTTCAATCGAACAGGGATAGCAATAAATATAGCGAAGAGGAATTATTGGATCTTTTCCGGACCTCTCTTTCAGGCCTACTAAAAGGCGCATATGTCCCCATAGGGGTTGAGAAGACTATGACAAATTGCCATGCATTGGCACAAAATTTCGACGACCGTGCTAGGTCCACTATTTGGTCAATTGTCGAAGGAATCGAGGGTGTCGAGAACGTTGAAGAGGATGGCACAAGGAACGTTTTTGCGATTGCGTATCGCTCCCCGAAATTCCAAACTCTGTCTCCCCTACAGAGTACCGTACTGCCTTGGATTGAGATCCGGAGTCTCCACTCGAATGACGTCTGCGGCCCAGTTGTCGAACCTCTGACGATACATCATGTGTCCCCGGATGAGGCCAGCTCCAAGAATACTTCCCAGAACGTACCTCCGAGCCCTTCAACGGTGTCTTCTTACGAATACTCGGTCCATTCTTCGCCAAACTCGTCGCCAGAGCCGTTGCCTGGTGATAAGCCTGGGGTGACAAGGGAGAGGGCGTTGGAGCTGTGAGACTGCATATTAGGGATTTTCGCTGGTTTGGAAAATTCAAAGTCGAAGGATACATGATGATTGGGATATTTGTAAGAGGTTTGATACCAAGTGTTGGCGGGCTTTCTTTGTTCTTTCAGATGGGTATGGGTGTAGGAATAGTATTTAATTTGTAGCAGATCTATTTAGTAGTTGCGTTTGTTGATCTTTCCTATATTTGGCTGTATGTGGATTGCTTGAGTATGAAATCAAAAGCTACCTGTAGTTAATAATGTACGTCTTTTGGGAAAGAATGTGCAGCGTGCAGTGCTAATGATAACAGTCGGGGGAGACCAGGACTGATTTAACCGGAAGAGAGAGAAAAATTCTTCAAACTGAGCTACGTATGTACCAGGTTGAATTGATTCATCGTGAATTTCAGCTCTTGGAGGTCTCGAGTGTCAGACTCTTGGCTTTTCATTCTAGCAGAGCTCTACTGAGGTGCTTGATCTAAGGTACTGACTGCTTGGTTAGTAGGAGCAGAGGCTCAAAAGGGAAAATTACCCCACCACCCACCCCCGACTCCGCGCTCAAAATGGACAGAACAAGTCCAAACAGTCCGAGATAGGCGATGATTCTCGTAATAATAATTTGCATTGCTCGCACGTGATGTCTAGATACAATGTAGTTAACTGACTTCCACCACTAATCTCCGTTCAGGTCAGCCTCATTAAAAACCTCCATTGTTATCTGGCGATACACAATCAATTCTCTCTGCGCCCCCCCATCAAACTTCTCCGTGACCACCACCACCACCACCCCCCCCCCCCCCCCCCCGGGTCTAACACGTAGAGTCATAGAGTGGTGCTCTATATAATTTATCCTCTTCTCCTTCTTCCCCCCTTCTCCTTAACCCATCTCTACTCATTCATATCATCCACAATGTTGCGCACCTCTCTCCTCCGCGCCCCGCGCATGACCTTTGGGCTCACTAGGGCCTACAGTGTCCAGACATCCAAGAAGCTCCCGGATATCGATGCTTCAAAATTGACCGTCACTCGCACCCAGACTCCCAAGGAGATGCTGAAGCCGGAAGAGCTGGTGTTCGGACGAACCTTTTCCGGTGAATTTTTCTCCTATGTGACCACGGTCACCCCCGTCCCCCCACATATCATCCGGAAGGGGTTCAATTGAGTTTATAATAAACTAATGCAATGGAATTAAAGACCACATGCTCTCCATTGAGTGGACCGCTCAATCCGGATGGGCCACTCCCCAAATCACACCCTACCAGAACCTCTCACTCGACCCCGCAACCTGTGTGTTTCACTATGCATTCGAATGCTTCGAGGGTATGAAGGCCTACTACGATACTCAAGGCCGCGTCCGCCTCTTCCGTCCCGACCGCAACATGGCCCGTCTCAATACCTCCTCTGCTCGTATTGCTCTCCCGACTTTCAACGCCGAGGAAATGATCAAGTGTATCTCCGCATTTGTCGCCGTCGACCAGAAGTTCGTCCCAAAGAAGAAGGGATACTCTCTCTACCTTCGCCCGACAATGATTGGAACTCAGAGGACGCTCGGAGTTGGCCCACCAGGTAGTGCGCTGCTGTATGTCATCGCATCCCCAGTGGGACCCTACTACCCAACCGGCTTCAAGGCGGTCTCACTCGAGGCCACATCACAGTACATTCGTGCCTGGCCCGGCGGTGTTGGAAACATGAAGCTCGGTGCCAACTACGCACCTTGTATCGTTCCCCAGCTCGAAGCCGCTGGCCGTGGATTCCACCAGAACCTGTGGCTGTTTGGCGAGGAGGGTTACGTTACTGAGGTGGGTACCATGAACTTGTTTGTTGCATGGACACTCCCCTCGGGTGAGAAGGAACTCATCACTGCTCCGCTGGATGGAACCATCCTCGAGGGTGTGACAAGAGACTGTGTCTTGGCGCTGGCGCGTGAGAAGCTTGTCAAGGAGGGCTGGACCATCTCCGAGAGGAAATACACCATTAAAGAGGTAGCCCAGGCAGCGGACGAGGGCAGACTTATTGAGGCGTTTGGATCAGGTACTGCAGCGGTGGTGAGCCCAATCAGGAGAATTGCATGGGATGGTGGAGTTAGCGGTACTCCAAGGGACATCATGTTCCCATTGCAGGAAGGCAAGGAGGCGGGAGTGATCGCAGAGAGAATGTGGAACTGGATGGAAGAGAGGCAGTACGGTGAAGTTGAGAGCGAATGGAGGTAAGTTTGGCGTTTCCGGTTAATTGGTTAAAACCGTGAGAACGGTACGCTAACTGGAGATGCAGTCATATTGTCCCCAACCTCACGGCCTAGTCCGCCGGAAAAGTTGTCAAGAAAAGACAAATTGAATAAACCAACAACTACCCATCTCTTTCTAAATACGCTAACTAATTTTCATTCTCATGGCTATCCATAGTTTTAGATGAGATCTTGAAGATTTCCCTCCCTTCTTTCTTTTTTATTAGGATTTTTTGCGTTTGTTTTTTTCACACCCCCAAAAAGGCTTTTAGCGGGAGAATTTGCTTGCGGGTGCGTGCGGATTGCTGTTTTCGTTTTTGTTGGAATCTGTTTCGGATGAGCTTTCGTTTCTTGTTCATTTTAGAGTGTGGATATGGAATCATAAACGGAGAAGATTATGTAGATCCAAGTTTCACGTGCTGTATATACGAGTGATCGTTCATGACTGACACTGCTTTGTGCACCTCAAACCAGTTCCATACGGCTTGCACGGCAAGAAACTAAATGTGGTTAGTTAAAGAAAATTGACCTTCAAAGAGCAGCAGAGATAGGCTAAGCATAAAATGCCAAGATCATGATTTCTGTTGGATGGATACCTACATATATGCACCGGGAGCTGATAGGCAGAGCAGCCAATCCGCATAAGAAGGATGCTAGCTACCGGTGAACGAGTCCGTCCGAAGCAACATGAATCGCTACAGTTTTCCCAGATCGATGGTAGTTCTCGATAATGGGGCTACCGAAAGTGGTTATGAGATCTACATATGTTCGGGTATCATCCGCATCGATGGCAGTTGGTGGAATAATCTTGGGCTAGATAGTGTAATATAAAGGAGAGATGCATAGAATCTAGGCCGTTATATAGGGATCGAAATAAGAACAGGACAATGACCTCTGGCTTGAAAAATCCGATAAACACACCTTTTCCTAGTATCGACCAACATCAATTAATGAATTATCAATCAATCAATTAGTATCGACCAACATGGCAATAAGAACGGAATACGCACATATATGTCGATGTGTGTTCACAGGCTAGCTTCTCTACCTCTTTCAAATCCAATTTTCAACGCTATCTATATCACTGACGCTTGATAGATCCTTCTAGATCCTGATGCTATTCGAAAACCGTGGTCGGTAATCAATACACCATGGGACCTCAGTGTCACCAACACAGTATGAGGAGCTGCATATATTTACATGTACTTACTAACCAAAGCTACTGGTGAATCGAAAGGCTACTGGCATGAGTTAGATTCGCATTCCAGGTTGGATCCAGCTTGTTGCATATTACCCCCGCATCATGCAAAACATATCTACTCTTCGTGGTTATGAGTATACTAACTTGATAGCAGCCAACATGTAGATCCCGTCTTTTGAATATGAAGCGTATATAGCACCACACTTCATATATTCAAGTATAAAGAGCCCAATAAACCACTCATCTGGCTTCCATCCCTTGATCCCAACTACATCTCCTCATTCCCCTCAAGATGCGCGGCCCTCTCTCTCAAAAGCTCCTCTTGTTTCTCACTTGCATTCTCTTTACCTCTGCCCGAGAAATCGACATCCACATTGATCTCGACTCCCCCAAAAGTCACCATCATGAAACGCCCTTCCTCGGCCCGGGCCCACAGCAAGTCCCCGACCACCATGCCAAACTCGACGTAATTTCCCCTCTCCCTCTCCCTCCCCCTCCCCCACACCTAGCTGACTACCCACAGTTTGATAGTTTGACGGAAGGCGCCCTCGTCGGTAACCATGGCTTTCTCACCTGGACTGACACCGTCCGCGTCTCCTGCGCTGGCTCCCTTGCCTCTTCCAAGCCCAATGCCGTACTCATAAACCAGTACAACCCCGACGACAAGCTCACGAACCCCGGGTTCCGCATCGACAACACCACCGCCACATTCGAAACCTTCGACCTCCTCTCATTCTACATCGCCCCCATCTACGAGCCCAAGAAGTTGCCGCCGATAGAGTTCAATGTCAGTGTCATAGGCTGTGGACCGCAACCCGGGCGGGTCCTGAGCAGGATGGTGACCATCTGTGGGCCTGAATGGCCACAGAAGATTGAGCTTGAGGACTTTAAAGAGGTAGCGAGTGTGACGGTAGAGATGACGAGTCAGATTGCGCCGACGGGAGGCCCGTTTATGCCGTCGTTTGTAATGGATGATGTGCATATGTTTTGGAGGAGGGTGGTGCATGATGATGAGCTCTGAGGTACGGTGACAATGGTTTTTATGGCTTTCTGTTGAGTAGTTCCAATCGATATGAGCAATATTAAGTTGTGCAGTTGATCATTGAAGAATCCGTGAGCCTGTAATCCACAATAATAAGGCATGAAAATCGCCACACGCTAAGAAGTCAAACCCTGAGTATTGTTGACAGTTAACCAGCTCGAGAGAGGCGGACCAATTGGCGAGTGATGTGCACAAGTGTAACGAATAGTTACTCGTCTGGTAAATACTTGCGAATATATGTGGACTCGCGCATAAGATCCTCACAGCAGCACCCAATATTAGGTTTTCATATGTTAAAATCCTAAAAAAACGTTGAGTCGCGATCAGAGAGAACAGGAATAGAGGTGAAAAGATAAATTATCCAAACTCCCAACCCCATACATCTACTTCTGGTACCAATGATTTTCAATACACCGCCAAACCAAACCGGAACAGAATAACACGGATCCAAGACAAAGGAAAAAGAATGAATGAAAGTCATAGCGGATACATAAGAAAGAAAAGGTCTGAGATTAATTACCCCCTCTTCCCCAACACACAACG